GCTTTTCGTGATGGCGACGTTTTTCATCTACTTTTGCATCATGGTTTGGGCTTTCAGCAATCCGAAACTTAGCGGCGCGGAGGAAGACGCTGACATGAGCCCGACCGAAGTCGCTTTCACACCCGGAAAGCGAGTGTTGCTGGAGCGGATCCGCATCCACAAGGAGCATCTGCAACAAGCAACTGACCCAAGTACAGACGCGGTTTTCCTGGAGAACAGCATCAGAACAGACAGAGTGAGCTTTACATTTAATTATAACAGTCCGGGCACCTCCAATTTAACTGAAGTAATTGCTTAATATTTGACTTTTAAATTAATGTCCTTAATTGCAAACGCAATAATGTACGTTCAGTTTGTTTCATCTATCACTGAGTCGATTAATATTACTACCTGATAATAGTTAATGACAAAAAAACACACGTACGCAATAATACTAACTTTGTGATTGCAAAATACGTTTCATCTCCATTGAATCACTGCTTTAATTTTGTTCAGTATCAGAGCTCGTCCTTGTCCTCACCTCTAAATCCTGCAGAGAGCAGAGAAATAGTAGCCTTTTGTCTATAAGGGGCGGTGTATTTTTAGGTATGATCCGTCACGTGCAGTCCACCCCCATCATGGTTTTTGGCCACCTAATATCCAGTCTCACCCTACCGCAACCATTTGTTTTTAAACGTGGGCGACGGACAAATTGTGTATTATATTGGCCAATCGGCTTTGTTAATTTTATTCCTGTTTTTGTTCTGAATAATCTGGAGGCAAAAATACTGCATAGTCTGTTCAGACTTCAAACTGTTCAGACACTGACAGCTCAGATTTCAGATTCATAAAGGACTCTTGCACTCTGCTAAGAATATTATATTTTTAAGAATTATTATTTTTTGCCACAGTTTTGAGTTTTGGAATATTTGAATCAACAGTCAAGAGAGACCAGTGGTGTCATCCCACTCTTGAAGACGACTTTCTGGAACTTGGGGGGGGGGGGGAAATACTGCTGCGACATGGAAAGACTGACTTAAACCCTGCTGGAAAAACCGACTATATGAATGATCTTAATTCAGCTGCAGCTCATCCTGTCCAGGCTGTCCCTCCGGCTTTTACTCTGTGCTTCTGGAATAAGTTCTAGACTCATTCTGTCCCTATACTTAATGAGCAGGTGGAAGATGGATGGATACACTATTGCACTGCCTGTAGTTCTATGATCATCTAGAACTCCTGGCCTTCTAAGGGAAAAAGTACACTTTTGGTTTCTGTACAGATCTAAAATCTCTCTCACCCTCACGGCAATTTATAAACAGCTCTCCAGTTTAGTGATAATGCATTCAAGTATTCATTTGGATGATTGGACATTCCTTATGAAGGTAAGTATAAGGAGTCACATCGAAAGTAGTTTTTGGTTTTGGCATAAACTGATAGGGACCTTAGACAAAAGAAAGAGTTTGTCACAAGTGACAAGATTCAAAGGTAAATATTAGATGATAAACACCTTCCTGTGATACAATGCAATCAAGGGCTAACATCACCTGAACATTCCTACAACGTTAGCTGGAATATTAAAGCCAGAACTGTTCACATGAAACAAAAAAAAATGACAATACATGTAAATTATACTACAGCACAAGCAACTACTACATGCCAGCTGGAACATGCTAGTGCCATTGCACCAGTTGTTACCATGGTGACATTTTCTGTTTACATAGCACATCAAATGCAATGGAAAATGAGTAATAGTCAAAATCAAACTGCATTTAGTTTATTAACCAACGTCAATGGGTCACCAATGTTTTTATTAAGTTGCAGAATTGTTACTTTATAAAATAGCATGAAAAAGATCAGTAAATGAAATTGAAAGGTTTGCATTGCAATCATATTTAAATTGATCATTGAATTTAAAATTACTGATCATAAACACCGGATTATACCAAAAAAAGAATTCAAGGTATTTTGTCTGTTTTAAAGACTTACAAATACAAGACATATCACATGTATATACTTTGAAATCATTTGATTTTAATATTCAAAACAAATACCTGGATAGTGGATACAATAACAGAATAAAACAAATTACCACTAAACTTGTAAAAAAATTATTTAGTGCACAAAATAAGCTCTATACAATAATTACTATACAGAACTGTGTCACTATCAGTATGTTACTATGATTGACAAAACCGGTATGATGTTATACACAAATACTACATCTATAAAAGCAAAATTGATGGATAGAAAATGAATCCCTCAGTCTAAACAAAAGCTTAAAATAGCTATTGTATGTAAGTTATGGCTTTGGTAATTTTTGAATTTCTTATTATTATGGTTTATGAATTGCAGCTCAATTTGACACTAACTTTTTATCAAGATCAAACAATTATCATAGGATGTGGTTCCAAATAAGTAAATAAGCTAAATTAACATGAGGTTTTGAGGGCTTCAAAATACTCCAAAAGGGTAAATACTGTGGAACGTATAAGTTTATACATATTGATGAGTCCATATATAACATATAAACATTACAACAATGTTAGTGTTCTTGTTCCAGTGGATTCTGTATCGTTAAAGGCTATGTGATGTGACACAGGGCAGGCTATTCATGTCCTAAGGTCCCACAGTGTATGCTGGGGCTTGTGTAAATGTAATCATAGCTACTCTTACCGTAAGCCAGGCCTGGGCAATTATTTTCTACGGAGGGACAAATCTGAGCTTCACCACATCAGCGTGGGATGTTTCTAAATGATTATGTTCACGTCACCTGAAAGCTACAATACCTGCCTTATTTGGTTTAACTTTTCCCTTTTTTGAAAATACATGCAGAAATCAACAGCACCAGTGCATTGTTCATGTTTAACTTGACATATATTTATCATTAATTTAAAAAAAAAAAAATAACCTCCATACATTTGAATGTAATACTTTTTATTTTTTTTTATTATCAAGCAGACCAGTAAAAATAGCTTTGTGGGCTGAATATGTCCCTCTGGTCGGCTTTTGCCCAGGTCTGCCATAAGCGGTGTCTCTGTTTCAGGAACAGCATCAACATGTAACTGACAGGTAATCAGAATGCACATGACTCTGGCTCTTAGGACATGAATGCATCCTGCCCCTGCATTACAGCAGAGCAAAGCTGACATATGGTGCTTGGAAAAGCATATTTGAGAAGTTTGCGCTGGCTGAATGGGGAGACTGGGTAAGCGGGCTTTGTAACACCAATCCGATATGAATAGCTTTTCTCAGAGTACAAGATTATATAAATAGGACCCAATCCTTACAGGAGTATGCTAGATATTACTATCTGCAGAGTGGTCCTTGTGTCGGTGTTCACTTAAATAAGTGAAATCTAAAAGAGGCATCCGATCACATAGCTGAGTTCTTCATTAACACCAGACATTAAACTTATGCCCTGCCTGCAGTAAATTCAGCTGTAGATGCTTTCAGCTAATCTACCATGTGAACGAACTGTCCTTCAGTTTCCTAATTTCACGGTACAACAAACCTACAACTCCCTTAATGAAAAAAAAGCAAAAATTATATACACCCAGAAGTTTAACACATATTTGGTTATCAATGCAACATTCAGACACAACAGAAAACTACCATTTCATGTACTAATGAAACCAAGCATATTTTCATACTCATTTTATACCAACAAATGCACAAACATGCTTTGTGCATGCTGAAGAGCATGTTCGACATTTCTCTTATTCATCTCACGTACTCTTTCACTCCTTTGCACATCAACCCTTTCCTCTAGGTCACAGGTCATATGAAACAGTGCTATGTCCTGCAGAGAATAACTTGTCCATTTGACATCTTTCCCTTGAACGCAGGTTTTCTGTGAAGTTAACCATTACCATTAACAACTATGAATGGCATTAAAATAGTTATAAATAACTTAGAGAAAAGTTTATGGAACTGAAATTTACATACGAAGACATGTTGGGCCATGAAATGTGCTTCGGGTGGTGAGATTGACATGCAAATGTGTTGAGCGACTATACAAACCCCGGATTATGCTATGATATGCTGTGCTATGACTGCAAAGTTTGAGACTTTAGGCATGACATCTACTGACTGTGAACAAAGTGGCTAAATGGCATTTCTGTTTTTCAGGGGGGGGAAGACAATGATGAAGGTGGTGTGTGTATTAGGTTCATATTACATTGTGGGGACCCAATGTCCCAACAATGTGATAAAAACCTGTAACTTTTTACCTTGTGAGAACATCTTTATCCCCATAAGGATCACCCCAATTTTCTAAAAATCTGTGAATGCAATCGAAAAAGTTAAAATGTTTTGTTTGGTTACTTTTGGTTGAGGTTTGGGCTAGGTAGGGGTTAAGATTGTCAGGTTGGGATTACAGTTTTCCTCATATAAATGAATGGAGAGTCCCCATTAGGATATAACAAACCTCTTTGGTGTGTTTGTGTGTGTGGTCCAGGTATACCTTACCTTGTGGGGACCAGATGTCCCCACAACGTGATGAATACCCCTTTTTTTTTTTTTTTTTTTTTTTAACCTTTACCTGGTGTCCATATGGGAAAACTATTTTATAAAAATCTGTGACTGCAATGAAAAAACTAAAAATGCAAAAACACTTCTGTTTGGTTACTTATGGTTAGGGCTGGGTAGGGGTTAAGGTTGTCATAGTTAGCATTAGCATTTTTCCCATAGAAATGAATGAGCGGTCCCCAAAAAGATATGATTACACGACTGTGTGTGTGTGTGTGGGGAGGGGGTGGTGGTGGTAAACATTAAAATTCTCACCTGTGCGTCACAGAAACATGCTCCAGGGTAAATGCTGTATGACCCATACTGTATAAAGAACGCACTATTAAATGTCCAAACCACAAAAAAGCCTCAGGCAAGTAACATTAAAATAGTAGTAAACAGAAATATTGATACTAACTATTTAACATTAATCAGTACTAACATTAATAACATTTTAAAGGCACTTACAGAGTATGATTCCACTAACGGAAAATAAAAATACATGAAAAACATACTGAATTTCCCGAGCTTGAAGCAGTTTAATTGGACTATTCCAGAATTCCAGGTCTGTGCTGAGCATGATATCAGGCCTCTACTGTAAAATGTATACTAGCCTACCTGCAAGAAACTGTCAGTGTTTGACTCGAGACTGAAACTGAGTACTGCTGTGGACCTTACATAAAAGCACATTATCACTTATTAAAAATAAAGAAATAAAAAAAATGCAACATTACAAAATTTGTAGAACGTTAACAGTACAAACCTAATGCACAAAGTTGCTTAAAATAGCAGATATTGTTACATGTACAATTGTGACAAAATTATCTGATACAAAGTGATATTTGAGATTATTCTTTGTATTAAAACTATGAATATTTAATTCACCTACATTACACAATGCCCTTGGTCCTGTGCTGACACACATTGAGTTTCATTGTAATGAGTCCCACAGGAAAACGAACAGCAAGACATGCCCTCATTCCTTAATAAAACAAAAGAACATAAAAATGTGTGAAATATTCCTTAAAATCCACTAAGAACATTTAAGGGACAGCTATGATTTCAAACTGTCCCTTATGAATACAAACCAAAAACCATATGCAAAAAGTCAACTTCCAGACCTATGTAACAACAAAATTATATATTGGCTTTTTATTTTGACTGCTGTAATTATTCGTAATGCCTACTAATCTAATCAAACCAAATCAGCAATCAAAAGCCAAATCAAATATCTATTCAAAAGCCAAAAATGTGACATTTTGTGGTGAAGGCCTGAAATGTGATATTTGTGCATTTTTTTTTTTTTTTTTACTAAAAGGAATCATGAAAGAATTCAGTCCCTTTCATGACAGTAACATTGCTATTTGCAAATACTATCAATCTAATTAATTCCAGGGGGAAAAAAGAAACTGAGAAAGGTAGGTGACCAGGGGAAGCCTTTTTATATGGAACTTTTTTTTGCTGCGTTACTAGATTAAATTTGAGTCGGTCGTTTCAAAAGTACTTTCAGGCCTCCTACTGGCACCTAACCCTTCCTGCCGCGCCAGCCCCCCCCAAGCACTTCAGGTTGCCCCTGTTCTGGCACAGATATGAAAATAACAATAGTTACACAGCAGTAAGTACTGTCTCACAGAAGGGGAGAGGAACGCCCGCCTGCATGAGAACCTAGGAGTATCCGGCAAAGGGCGTCGACCAGCACGAGGCTGCTGGGAATGTGCTGGGCACAAACGTCCGAGCAGCGTGCTGAGGTGCCCCCCCGCACACCCCCCCCCCCCCATCCCAGCTGCCGCTGCCGTGGTCATGGCTGGCACTCCAGCAGCACACGGTGGATGTCCTGGAACGGCGGCCGCTCCTTGGCGTTCCTTTGCCAGCAGCTCAGCATGAGCTTATAGACAGGATCGGGGCAGGCGGCCGGCTGGGGCAGGTAGATCTGGGCAGGGCAGGAGGAGCATTTACGGGAAACACGTCAGAATGGGACAAATGCTACTTGTTCTCGCTAAGTGATGTTACTTTCACTAGTGATAAATGCATGTGCTGGCAAGTTACGTTTACAGGTGTGTGTTCGGCCGTTTAGCGTGCAGTAAAGCTTCTGGGCAGCATTTTCGCAATCTGGACTTGTTAGGTTTTTAGAGCACAAAGTATTCATGGGGAATAGGATTAGGAGCTGGAAATGGCTGGGGAATCGTATAGCATGAATGGCACATGCTGGTGATGTGATGTTACACTGAACAGATTGACTAACAGAAGACAACCAGGAGTTAATATAACTAATCAGAAAAATTCTGCCCTCCTGAAATTATGATAAATTGCAAATCTCTTGATTATGTGGGCAACGTTTACTGGATGAATACAAGTAGCTAAAAATTAGGAGGAGCACCGCTTCCAATTGCATGTAATAAAAACGTGCCGTAAAGCTAGTAAATACAGTGAATTATATGCTGGAAAGACACTGGTGCAGCACAAACACTCACCTGTCGCTTCTGATCCCTGAAGAACTCGCCAGTATTCTCGATGACCTGCTCGTCGGAGAGCTGCGAATAGGGCTGCTCCTTGCAGAAAGTCAGGATCTCCCACAAGGTTACGCCGAAAGCCCATACATCACTGGCGGTGGTGAACTTGCCCTGAAGTGAACAAGCAGGGCACCACAAACAACAGGTCATCCCATGGGGACACATTCTTAACTTACAGGAATGTGTTGGTCTTTCAAAGGACTTTAGCCAAAAATCACAGGATTAGCTAATGCTATCAAATCATCTTGGTGAATTTAACAAATAGTTAATGCTGTAGCAAAAATAAAACAAAGGAGGTCGGGCTGAGGAGACTGCTGGTCCTCACCAGGAGGATGCTCTCCCAGGACATCCAGCGGATGGGCAGCACGGCACGGCCCTGGATGCGATAGTAATCCCCACTATACAGGTTACGGCTCATGCCAAAGTCAGCAATCTTGATGGTGTAATTCTTGCCCACCAAGCAGTTGCGTGTGGCGAGGTCTCGGTGGACGAAGTTTAGTGAGGACAGGTACTTCATGCCAGAGGCTATCTGCATGGCCATGTAGTGCAGGTTACTGTAACTGCAGAGCACAGATGGGCGAGAAGTTCATTGAAGGGTTTGGGAATCAAGTCAAATTGCATAAAAGACCCAAAGACTATAGGGAGTGACTCAAAGGTGAGAGCTAGAGAGAACCACGCTTACGTGACTATGGCAGCATTCCCGAAGAAGGCTGCCTGGATCTTGGGATCGTGACGGGACAGGAACTGGTTAAGGTCCCCATTCTCCATGTATTCTGTGATCATGCAGAGGGGATCGGCGCAAATGCACACTGCCAGCAGGCGGATGGTGTTGGGGTCTTTTAACCGTGACATGATCTTGATTTCTTTCAGGAAGTCATTCCTGTGAATGGACACTTGGGCATTACCACAAGGATACTCGCCTGGATATGCAAGTCTGCGCCAAGCCATGGCTTTACCTGGCATTTTTATTGGCATCTGCTCTCAGCATCTTCACAGCTACAAGCACGGGCATGCCGGGGCTGACGTCGAAAGAGAAATCCTCGTCCATGAAATCCTGCATGCCCTCTGCCTCACAGAGATGCACCTGGTACACACCAGCCCAAGACAAAATTAAAAAACAGAGCGTGGTCATCTTCAAGTCCTGACTTGCCTTTCACATTCAGCAGTCTCCACCCATTCCCCACTCACATTCTTCACAAGATGATGGTATAACCCACCTCTCCGAACTGTCCCTCCCCAAGCTTCTCCTTGAAGCTCAGCAGCTTCATGGGAAACTCCCCCACGGCCACGTCCTTTCCAGACAGCAGGTCCATCGTGATGGCGGGCACGGCATAGGTGTTGCTCCCTGTCACCCCCTGCAGGTTGACGATGTCAGCCTCGGCGTAGTGAGGTACGCCTTCCTGGCCACTGGCTTGAGCTGGTTTTGAGGCTACACTGGTCCCCGCTGTGTGACACCCAACACCCAAACAAGTTAGTGCACTAAACTGCATCATACATCAGACATGTCATCATACCTCATTCTCTGGGTAGGGGTCTTAAAGGGACAGTTCACCCCAAAACTGAGAAAATGTATGTTTTAGATGGACTTTAGTGCTATTTATCCCTCTAGGTCCATCTAGGTTGTTCTGCTTGGAGATGCCTAGTTTTGGAGATATTGGTCGCAGAAATGCCGGTTTTCTCTCCCATATAATGAGACTGAATGACATTCTCTCTGTGGTGATTAAAGTTCCAGAAAAATACATTTGAAAAATTGAACAGCAATGTCTCTTATCAGAAGTCATGAGCCGGTAGATAATCCACAGACTTTGTAGTGAGCAATTTAATGTAGTTTAATGCTAATTTTCTTCTACTAAACTCCACGCACTAATTGTATCAATGCGCAGAAGATATTGCCAGGGTGTTAGTGCTCGTATCTTCTGTACCTGAACTGCTCCTTTAAGATCCTCTATTGTCATGCAGTCTTAGTCTTAAGTCGCTTTCTATCAGGGGTTTTAAGGTCTTCTACTGTCATGCAGTCTCAGTCATAAATCACTATCTATTAAGGGTCTTAAGATCCTCTATTGGTCAATGAGGCTTCTGGCCCATTGTCTACTTATCAGTTAACATTCGTTTTAGACTTTGTTTTACTTCTACAGTGCTGGTTCATACCGGCCTCCTCTGTGACCTGGGAGAACTCGGGCAGCTTGCGGATGAGGCGTGAGGGCTCCTGGTAGTCTGGGCCGAGGGGGAAGATCCTCTCGTAGGTGGACTCCTGTTCGCTGGGAGACGATGAGTGGTTGTTGTTGCTGCTGTAGGTGTAGGTTTCACTCTGTGTTGATGCAAGTGAATGACAGTTAGCTCACTGTCCGTTTTCTGCTCAGGGCAGGGCTCAGCTCCACGGGGGTGGGGGGCAGGGTGGGCCTGGTCCACCTAATCATTATCTTGGTCCACCCCCCCGACTGCGATGCCCCACCCAACACTCCAAAAGCTGAAGCCAGGTCTGGCTCAGAGACCCAGAATGAAGAACAAAAAGTTAAGAGAACCACATAACATCCAACCACATTTAACCCCATCAAATACTTTGTTTTAAAATGTAATAATTTATATAAAATTTTTTATAGCACGGTGGATCAGTGGATAGTGCTGTTGCCTCATATCTCCAGGATTGGGAGTTCAAATGTTCTCCCCATCTTATAAAGATTTCCTCCCACAGGTCAAAGAAATTATCAGGCTAACTAAATTGCCTTTCTTTACTCTATGTATGTGTGTGTGTGTGTGTGTGTCCTGCAATGGACAAGCATCCCATCCAGGGTGTTTCCTTGCCTTGTGCCCTCTGATAGGCTCCAGGCCTCCCATGATCCTTTACTGCACTGTTTCCCAATCTGGTCCTGGGGGATCCCCAGACAGTCCATGTTTTAGTGGAGCTGGGAAGGAGCAAAAATGTGGGCTGTCTGGGGGTCCCTGAGGACCGGTTGGGAAACACTGCTTTGTGGTTGAAAGATTGATTGATTTTCATGTATATTTTCATCTAAAAGCACGAGCATAAATAAAAAATGTATAAAGCAGTTAACATTCAGTGCCACTTCTGTTGTGGACCGTGGTACGTTTCCCCCTTTAGAATGAAATCTTCACTGACCTTCTCCAGCATCTTCTGCCAAACTTGCCTCCACAGAATCATGACTATAATGGCCACCAAGATGAAGATGATTGCCACCAAGCAGCCAATCAGAATCCTTGTATTGCTGTCATCCACTTTATGAGTAGGGTCGTCACCTGACACAAAAAATGGGGGGGGGGGGATTCTTTTTTTATTGAGCATGAACAAGTCAGAGGAGTCAGATGTCAGATGCCTGGCAGCCATGAGGTGTTTTGTGTGATAGAGGCCCTGCTTACAGCAAATCTGCTACCAGTAAATCTTCCTCATTTTGTCACTGACTGTCTAGTTACTACAGTTCCTGCTGTCACTTAACCCTAGCAATTGTATTTTTAAAGTCTTGATAGATATCTTCATCATCACATATAGCCGAAGTGTAAAAAGAAAACTGATTACGAAAGACTGCATATCTATGATCACCACTACTGGGTGCCTCGTTAAAGCAATTACTCTGTTGTGTCCATTGCACTTGTCATGCGTATAAAAAAGCAATAAAAATCCAGACATTTAAATGAGACAAGTAGACCTACTTACCTGGCTGAGTGCTTGTTGGGGGGTCAGTGTTTGAGGGTGGTAGGGTGGTATTGTACATTGCCGTGTCTTAAAGAGAGAAGAGGCTTACATTAGAAGCTTACATTGACAGGAAGGTTTCATTCTGACTGATCATTGTTCAGGGCATAGTAAAGTAAGGTGCATCAGAGTTCTTAGCTGGTGTTATGGCAGAAGATAGACCTGCATCAGTGCTAGCGGTATCAGGAAATTTCTTCATTATTTTTACATCATATAAGAGCATTTACAGCACTTGCTTAATATCTGTAAAAATAATGCAAATTTATTGGTTCCGTAACAAAAGTCCATTGACAAGCAATGTTTAACATATCTGAACATATCTTTCGACACAGACATTTTCCTTTTAAGTGTTATATTTTTGACTGATTCATTCATTTCTGTTCTTGCTATTTTGCTATCAATTGCAATTGTAGACATTCACTCCTAAAGGGAGACTAAACACAAGAGTTTGCGTTTTTTATGTTATTGCAACGTTGTTACTAATTAAAAAGCACCTAGTGAGACTGCTGGTCAATGAGAACTCTTTCACAAGTATAATTTGGGTTTCAACTCAATACTACTTGAATGTTTTACTTAAATCTACTACTTTCTAATGTGAATATATGTTTTGTAAAGAAATTAATCAAGTAATGATTTTTGTTATAAAACCAATAAATTTGCTATATTCTTACTGAAAGAAACAAGCATCCCAAGACGTTCTGTGAACACTATACAGTATATGAAGACAAGCATCTATAAATCAAAGACTGTAGGCATCTATAGTCCAAACACCCACAGTACCTGACTGGAAAGTTATTTCACTGAACATCATCCAGGTGTCAGCGAAGTAGTACTGGCATTTTATGGCACTGGCCATGTGGTTGTGGAGGGAGACTGTGACGAAGCGAGCGCTGGGGTTGGCGTTGTCCATGATGGGGCTGAAGGAGGCCGACGTGGGCTCCCAGTCCGACTCCGAGCGGAAGCGGCAGACCACCTGCCGGAACATCTTCACCCGACTGGTGAACATGTTGTTACAGTGCACCTGTGGGATGGGCGAGAACCAACAAACATGTCACCATGTGTTTCACCCACCATAAGGGTGGTTCTTCTGGAACCAGAAACTTTACACTGGTGACAAGCCCAGTCTTAAAGGAAGTTCCCAGTTTAAACCCTCCACCTCTGGAGGGCTGTACATGGCCCTCTTCTTTTGAATGGAAGGTTGTTAGTTTGAATCCCGTGTTTGCTAAGAGTAGTCATAGAACAATTTGAGTCCTTGACCAAAGCCCTTATTTCTGAAAACTGCTCTAAGGTTCCTGGATACATGGCTTACCCTGGACTCAGAACCCAAGCTTCACTCTCACCTCTGTATGTGCGTCACAGGAGAGCAGGATGGGATTTGTGATGACTGACCTCCGTTGTACTTGCTACCTGTACAGCGACCATAAAATTGCATTCTATTCATTTAGCCCCACCCACGGAGACGGCCGTCACACGCACTTTCATGGTGGTGAAGTTGCGTATCCGATCGAACTCGAACATGATCTCCACATAGTCCATGGGGAGACTCTCGTTGCTCCAGCCCACATAGTCATAGCCAGGCCAGACGCCGTAGACATGGCTGAGAGTGAAGTCGTCCAGGCCGCACATGCCATCTGTCAGCTGGCCAAGCCCTTCGGTCATGCTGTGGGCGAGATGCGAGCCATGAGGGACTTGAGCTTAATCATGTGGGAACGTTTGATGGATTTCAAAGTTCAGGATAGTGCAGAACTGAATCAAGAACACGTGCATGCTGATACGTGGTGGGTGCATGACTCAGTAGTTCAGATGCAGTGCTTGTGATCAGAAGGTTGCTGGTTCAAATCCTAGGGATTTCACCATTGAGACCAATTGCTCCAGAGACTGTCTGACCTTGCTTTCTCAAAAAAAAATGTATGTGCTAAAATAAGCAAGATACAACACAACTGTTGGCCACTAGATGGTGACATACTGTTGTCTGATAACTGCAAAACTAATCAGTAATTGTGAAGTTAACATGAATGAGGACTGAAGCAGTGATCTGAAATTTAGAATGTCATAAAACGACTGATTATCAAGCCTTCCCACACAGGACCGGTGTGCAGAGACACAGGATGCTGACCTGTAGCCCACAGCCCCATCATACACGGAGTCGTTGAGCTGAACCTGCAGGTCTTCATAGATCATTTGCTGGCCTGTGGGGGCGCTGTAGGACACCAAGCCATCTGTGAGGAAAAGTGTGAGGAATCAGTTTAATCCCTCATGGGGCCCTACGCCATCCAGCACCGAACGTGTATGGTGTGAGGTCACTGGAAACAGCACGGGTAACAGAAAGCGAAAGGTGTAAGATGTTTAAAAAAAAAAACAGTAAATACCTTTTAAATAACATCAGATAAAACAGAACTCTACAGTCCAACTGTAAGAGGTTTGGCTGGTTCAGTAACTGCATTTTGATTCCAATTCCTTAATTATTTATTTCTGTAATTGGAGGCAGAGTGAGTTAGGACCTTATGCCTGTGACTGAAAGGTGCCGAGTCCAAACCCCAGGCTGGGCTAAGTGATTCCAGTGTGATTTCACCATTAGGTCCTTGAGCAAGGTCCTGAACCCCCAACTACTCCAGGGACTGACTGACCCTGCATTCTCAACTGTACGTCGCGTTGAATAAAAGCGGCTGCTAAATGTAATGGGATTATGCTTTTTATGATCTCATGAGGGAAACACAATGAGATGAATGTGCTCACATTACAAGATAAGGCAGTAATACACGACCCTGCAGGGAATTTTCAGATGAAAGATATTTTTACAAATCCAAGTCATTGGCAGCCAGCAGCAGATTTATAGCGCAGATAAAATATGCTCAAAAAGTACTTAAAATGTTATTCATTATACGATTTAACGGTAAAGCACTGGACTAGCACAAAAGCACTATTAATTCAGAAAAATGGCTGTCACCGTGAAATATGCAAACATCTGAGTTTGAATTATACTTGCACACTGCAGTGGGCCCCTGGCTTGATGTAGAGCGAAAATCTTTGGGATCGTATATCTGGCAGAATTAAGGGAGACTAAGACTGCACGGCTGTACAGGTTAGGGCACTGTGCCCATTACTGGAAGGACACTAGTTTAAATCCCTTGGTCGGCTGAGTGATCTCACCACCATTGGGCCCTTAAATTGCTCTCGGCACTTAATGATCCTGCTGTGGATAAAGCATCTCATAAATAAGGCCATTGGCAGGAGAATGGTGACAATTCAAGGGGAGAAGAGATCCACACCACTGTCCATTTAACCACTCACATACTAGCAGGAAGTCACCCCTGGGGCACCACAGCAAGACCATTGGAGAGCTAACTTGCCATTAACATCCATTTATCTATGCATTGTTGGGTTTCGTGCGGCCCGTCCCAGCTTACCTAGCCATTCGCAGCCATAAAGCTCCACTCTCATGCACACGTTCATGGAGTGGTCCGTCACGGGCATGAAGCGGACGAAGCGGGCGATGATGGGAGGCTCCAGGTCCTTCAGCACCACGTCGTACGCGTTCCTGTTGCCCTCGATGATCTGGGGGACGACGCCGAATGATGTCATGAGACGCTCCTGCTGTGTGCGCTAATGCTGATGGACGTCGCGCTCCTCTTTACGTTGTTGTTTGTGGTGTCTAAGGACACTGCTATCGAAAGCTAAAGGTTGCACCAGTTCAAGTCATAATTAATGATAATCCATATTCCAAAGGTGCTGGGCTAAGTCATCTTAGCTTTTAGCAGCAAGAATACCCTCATAAACAGATCAATAGCAGTTAATGTCACAGAGTAGCTTCAAAACACCCTGGGAGGCTGGGGACACGCCAGATGGGGCAAAGCAAGATGAGGTGACATTCCTTAACTTCACATGTGTCAAGTTGCCAAATGACACCATTCTGTGTTTGGCTCTCGTCCCAAAAACATGCACCCAGACCCTGACTTCTATCATATTCCTATGCCTGGGTTGTCGTCTTGTGATTCCACCAAAGCTGATATCTTTGGTTTTCATTCCATGTGTTTGCTAAACCCACCTCCATGCCCAAACATAGAGTCCCACTCCCTTCCTCGAATCACATCAGGGACGGGGCCACATGGGTACTAACCCCAGCTGAAAGCTAATTGGCCCCTGGAATGCTCCCTCCCCTGTCACTCACTGATTCAAAGCATATCATTGGCTAATGATATGGTTGGCCCCTCTCTCTGAATAATGGCGCCTTTTATGCAACCTACCTTAAAAATAAATAAATAAATAAATCCTAGAATCACCCCTGTGTCACATAGTTCTGACTGCAAAGTTACCAAGAGCAAGTTAGAGAGAAATAAGCCCAAGGACAACAGGGAAAGGGATATTTGACCAACCTCCCTGCCCTGTCTGTTCCTCCAGGAGATCCAGCGGTTCCCGTCACGGCTGTACTTGATCTTGTACATCTGGGCAAACTCATTGCCCATGCCGCCAGCGTGGCGGCCCTGTGTGCCCACGAGCGTGATGAAGTGCAGCGAGCGCAGGTCAATCTGCAAGAACTCATTCAAGTGGTCGGGCTCCACGGTGATCTCTGGGCACCAGGCACCGTCACCCTCCTCGAAGTCCAGTCTGGGGGGGGGGGCGGAGAAGTGAGAGGAAGGAGGGAGAGAGACCGGCTGAGGGGCAGCATGCAATGGGGGCCTTGTTTTGGACTGGTGGGAAAGCACAGCTTTTGTGAAAACATTGTGGCATTGTGCAGAGAAACCAGAATACGTGTAAATGTGAAACGGAGAATGGGCCACCCACGTGGGTAAATTTCCCCATCAGTGTGGTTTTCATGCACGCACGCACAAACACGCATGCACACACACACACACACACACACACACACACACAGGCTGAATAACCATACATACTCAACAGGACAGTGTGTATAAACAGGGCAGCCCTTACCCACACACGTAACACGAGACGTTACTGCTGCCAATTGTGGGTTTCAGGCAGATCCATTTGTATTTGTATAAATATTCACAGGCATGGCTGCTGGCAATTTAGCATGCAGGAGCGCCTGCGGGTCCAGACGGACGGACCTGCCGTAACGGGCCGCGGTGGATTCGGACCACTGGCTGGAGGCGGAGATGTCCTCATCCTGGATCTGTCCCCCGGACATTCCCAGTGGGTAACGGCACACACCTACGGACACCAACAAATGCAGCTTTAACTTAAACAAATCCATCTCAAATGTTTAGTAGTGGTAAAAACACAGTATCAGAAGTAGATGGCAGTAAATGGACACAGAAATTAAATTTTTGGGTATTAATATGCAAAATTATATCCTACTTAAATACCTTGAAACATTCCTTGGCAACAGTTCTTAACCCTTATTTTGGCAGACAGCAACCTAAGATTTTATTTTACATTTTTTAAATATAAAAACTAAAATAATAATAAAATAACTTTTCCCCTAGCTAAGTACAGCTGTCAAGCTACATTTGAGCAGTTTCCCCACGTTGTGCCCCTGTGATATTAAAGTTCTTACTGTTCATTTTATTATTATTACTATTATTTACTTTTAGACACTGAAACATACAGTTGGATATTTGTACTTGTTCAGCTGCAGAATAAAAGTAAAAAAGAGAACTGGCAAAAGAGTTTAAATTGTTTCAACATACATTTGTAGTTGTAAGCTATAGATTAAAGATTAGATCAGAGTAATTAACATTTTATACATTTTAAACATTTAGCAGACATTCTTGTCTAAAACAACATACAAGCAAGGCAAATAGAACATTGCAAATATTCATGGTGTTAAGTCGACTAGGCGTAAGTACGGCTCAGCTGAACTTACACTTGTAGCTGGGCGTTCATTGTAAGCAATATTGGAGCAGGAGTGATACAACAACTATACATTTACACAACAAATACATATTTCACTGAAGAGATTGTCAATCATTGACACAGGGTAACACTACATATTAAGTTGTTCTGGTTAGGAATGGCGTCTCGATTACGGTTAGCGCTGCACTGCTACCTCGTTAATAGCCCTTATTAAAATACCAGGTTACATAGGGTGACCAGATAATCATGTCAGGGAGGATACTTTGAGCTACTTCGGGTTTTACAAACTACTATCAAACTGAAAGGCTCCTGCGCTTAGCTAAATAATTCAGCTCTTCTTGTGCTTTGACTGGTTTGTTTCCTTGACCCATCAGCTGTTTCACATTAGCTTTAGTGACACATGCATGATTATAGGAGACTGACCAATCAGCACACAGCAAGATCTCAGTGCTCAAGTGAAATCCAGGTCCTTTTAATTGAAATGGTAATTTACAAAACCTGTCCTAGCTCATAGTGTCCTCCCTGACACTCTGGTCACCCTACAGTTACAGCTAGTGTTTTCGTCAACGAAATTTTTGACGAAATATCTTCGTCAACGAACCTTTTTGACGTGACGGGAGACCAAACGAGACGCAACGTAAATGCTGGTCATGTGACGACAACTATAACGAAATATATCGTGTAATACTGTTGACGAATAAAAACGAGACTAAATTTGGTTTACAAAATAAAAACTATATTAAAATGTCTCTTCATTTTCGTTGACGAAAACGAGATGAGACGTTATTTCCTCTCGTTTAATCGCGTTATTATTATGCAGTACGTATTTCTGTTGCCTGTCTCCCCCATTCGGGCGCACAGATAGCGGAGAAATGCGGCCACAAAATATCGGGAAAAAACACCACAAACCTTAAAACCTTAAAAGACATCAAGGCATTCCACAATGACATTGAGGTAAGTACAGACATTAAAGTAACGTTACTTTCTATTTTAGAAAGCTCATGCCAACTGTGGTTAACATGTTATCGTTAGCAATAGATGTTATCCTGCTAGCTTTAGGCGTTTTGGAGAAAATTATATTTCATAAGCATGGACACTTGGCGATCTGTACAAAACATCTTTATGATAAGATGTTTGATAAGAATACGTGGGTAAAGGGAACACTTTGAAGCTATGTAGGCATTTTAGCAAGCTAAAGCTAAGTAGCAAACTGAGAACGACAGCTCAGTGTCTTGAATCCTGGCGATCTAAACTTTCAAGCTTTCATTACTGCGTGACTAGATATATGTCGAAAGGGGTAGTGTTTGGAACACTGAAAGAACGTTTTTCGGAACATCGTCAATGGGTCTGGCTTGCCAGGCTAGTTACCATCCACGTAGAGGTAGGCTCTGGCTACAGCTCATGTAAATACCTGCTAATTGTGAAATAATGTTCTTGTGGAAAGGATGTTCGTGAATGATTCAGAGCATGATGCATTTTGATTGGCATCCCTTATGGTCTTGTGAGGCCTATTTTTTCCGTTGAACAATTGTAGCTGAAAATAAACAGCCACATTACAACCAATAGTTTCAGTCATTGAGTGCAAAATAGGCCTAATAGCAAGGATTTATGCTACTTAATATTTACAACAGTTAGATTTTCTCGAGGCTGCATCTGTCCTGACATTGTATCTAATCCTGTGCTAGATTCCAGAAACAGCTTCAGTGAAGCAAGTCCCGTGCAAGAAGATTTATTTATTTTATTTAAATTTGTGTGTACTTCTAAGTAAACATGTTTGGTTGGCAAAATAAATGTTATAAATTCAAATCAGAGCGTCTTCCATGTCTGGAATGGATGTAGAGTATTCTTGAGTCTATAAGGTAACAATAATATAATAAGAACCTTGTTTTAATTGTGAAATGCGTTTGACTAAAAGAAAATTGTCTGTCTATTCTACTAGGTACTTGTACTATATTGACTAGGTAAAATAGAATTGCATCACTAAAATAGAGACTAAAATACAATTTTCATTGACTAAAACTAGACTAAAATGTTATCAATTTTTGTTGACTAAAACTAGACAAATAGTCATGGATAATTCTGACAAATGCTCAGACTTTTAGTTGACAAACTTGACTAGACTAAAATGAGTATGGACGTGACTAAGACTAATAACTAAAATGACAGCTTGACGCAAAGACTAGACTAAAACTAAAATTAAGACAGGCCGCCAAAAACAACTATAGTTACAGCTCTCCTCAGGTCACATGGTTCAGGGTAAATTTACTACCAAATGTATGGCAGAATTGCTTAAATTATTTTGTGGTAATTTGCCAAAAGAAATACCATGGTGAGGTGAAGTGTCTGTATTTTTACGTGCGCTTATTCCTTCATTTGTAAACAGTGCTCAAACATAGTGTTTATTCACTTTTTATTTTGTCTATCATTCATATCATAGAAATAAAATGACTTCTGTTTGTCCATTTCGACCTACATGTTTTACCCTTAACCCCCCCACCCCCCACAACGCTTTTCCCTAAAGTGCGAGGTGTGGATTGGACAGTACATATAGTGGTAGTGTTTGCCCAATTTAGCTTGTTTTGTGGATAAAGACTGACAATGGATTATGCTCACTGGACACTTTTGATAGGTGGCTGCTTAATGCACAAGTAAATAAACCGGAAGGATATTTTGCCTGGCAGCCTTTATGAAACATTATACATTATTATACTGCATTTTCGATCGGAAAATGGGTCAAAATTGTTTGAAAGTTTAGTATTTCTATGTTCATTTTTTCAAACAATTTTTTCCTTTAAAAATGAAGGAATTAAGTTTTAGCATGCTCCATGTGAAAATAGCAACTTCCGTCTTTGTACAAAGTTCAATTTGCTTAGAAACTGTTCTTAGTGTACAGGGAGGATGTATTCGATAAAAGTCTGCACAGTTACGGTTATTTGTGGCTTGACTTTTAAATATAGCCTATATATGCCGGGTCACTAAGGATCCAAGGTATGTGATAATGTTCCCATAATAAAGTCCCATGTACACAAGAGTTAAGTGTTTTCTTAAGAACTAAAATCTTGTAGTGCATTTATGTACATTTTTGTTTTTGACAGATATTGTATGTAGTTCCTTTTAAGAGACCTGTCTTTCTCTTTTGAATAGTTACTATTGCTCTTTAATAAGACCGATTACTCGATAAATCAATGGAACAAATTGATAGAATACTCGATTATTTTAGTAATAGCTGCAGCCCTAATGAACACCTTGTAAAATATTTCATCTGCCAACCACAGAACTGTGTAACGTGTTATTCGATTCTGTATATAAAAATTAGCATTTTCCTCACACATTCTCTTTTCTCACGCCTCATATTTCAAATTCTTTGTTCAGTATTTTTTAAAAGTTTTAAGTTTCCATCACTAGGAAAGTTATGAAAACTTACAGCAGTTGTACAAGGCTGATATACTACACTCGTGGAGACCACAGACCTCTTTATTCCCCTTCTCTTTCCTTCTTGAAGCCTGGAAGCTTTTGTTTGGCACACTTCTACAACATCCTTTGCTTGGTGGAATATAACCCATTCTCAAGCACAGAAGAAGCTTCAGTTACCATGCAGTAACTGTAATAATGATCAAGTTTACTTTGGAGGGCCACTGGGTTTTTTTCTGCAGGGACCAGATTCAGCAATTCAAATGAAAGGGGGGTGATAGTAGTGATGGTATGGTATCAGACTGTAGCTCACTGGGAAGCACCTGGTGCCCAACCATGAGAAAATGAGGGAGGAAAAAAAAAAAAAAAAAAGTATAAAAGACTCCGCTGATTTTCATAATAAAAGTCCTTCTGCTTTTGCTTATTTTGTAAGTGTAAACAGAGTAAAGGAGGGCAGGTCCTTCCATTTGATTCATTTACATGATCATACATATGTAGCAGGCCTGTTTGTAAAATGAAAACCATTAAGCATTATAAAACGTCTCTCTGATTATATATGCTAAAAACTTTTAAAACATAAAACAAAAGCGTATTCTGGTTAAAATCAACACCCACTTCATGACAAGGATAATGTGCCATTAGATATTAGATACTATGACACTTCGTTTCGGCTCTGGCCAATCAGAAAGCTAATTTACTGACTGGGCTTTAGTGAATGATAACTGTAGCAGAATGACTGTAAGAAACAGCATGAGCCATAGGTGGTACTAACCCTTTGCCAAGGAGACCTGAAATGCAGGGGGGGGCACCGTACATAAAATAGGACAGAGGTGGCATGAGGTCTCAGTAAGTAGCACTGTTTGTATTCCACCCGTGTTGTGTGTGTAGCTTGCATGTTCTACTGGAATTGTGTGGATTTCCTCTTGCAGTCTAAACCACACGTATGTCTGCTACTTGCGATATGATCCAGGTCTTTCTACAGCAGAGGGGTGTGAAACTTTTGGTCTGGAGACCCCCCCCAAAAACACCCAACTCATCTGACAGCAGACACTCCCTTTCAGGGGCATTTCTCACCGAGGTCCAAATCAGCTTTACTGCACGTCAACAGAGGACTGAGCACCGAGTTTAACGTCACACTAGAGAGTCACCAAAGATATGCGGCTTCAGTGCAATTGCTGGCCCTGCCTTGGTAAGTTATTCTTTCAGCAAACACAAAAAAAGTATACAGTTACCAAGGGAACCACAGCCACAAAGTGCCCGTGAATATCAGCCATGCGCATATTGATTTCTGTTTGGTTTTGGGCCCATCAGAGTGCAGTCCAAATGGACCCCCACCCGCGCCACCCCAACATCACAACAGAAACGCCTTTGTGTTCCTGCCAGCAGCAGCATGGATGGAAGTGAAGGACATTTTGTTTAACCCCCACTCCCTACCCCGAGGACCTGCATAAAATCAAAGATGGGAAAACCTTAGAGGTTCATTCTGGCAGCTACGACCTCATTTCATCCAAAACTAGCTGAAGCCCTGACCAAACCCTCCTCCAGATGCTGGCCGCCTGACCACACTCACATTTACATGCAGATGCTATATAATGAGGCATCACTGCATAATTACTTTAAAACAAACTGCTGTGAATTACTCAGTTTCATGCTTGATTTTATATGGGATGAGATTACAAATATATACATATATATATATATATATCCATCCTCCAACCACACTTCTAGGATAGGGTTATGGGTATAGAAAGTATATAATATATAAAATATAATTAAAAACTATCCATCACATATGCATACTCACATACATTCAGTGACATTCAAAAATCGGCATATCTGCTTTTAATGCATTTGTTTCTATTTTGCTATTCATCTTATAGTAAAAGGCCTCGAGGCAATGAGGTAATACAAATCAAACATTGCAGCAACCAGGAATATTGCAACATCTCAAAACGTTCTCATTTTATTGTTATTGTTAATTTTAGATTCTTCAAAACAGCCTCCTTTTTGCTTCAACGACAGCATTGCAGACTCTTGGCGTTCTTTCAACCAGCTTCCAGATGTAGCCACCTGGAACGCTTCTCCAACAGTCCTGAAGGAGTTTCTACACGTTCTGGGCACAAGTTGGCCACCTTGCGGTCACTCTTCAATCCAGCTCATCCCAAACCCCCTCCATTGGGCTTCTGGTCAGGGGATTGTGGGGGTCAGGTTGCCTGTCACAGCACTCCATCTCTTTTCTTGTTCACAAGATAGTATAGTACTTCTGTAACCTTGCGGTGTGCTTAGGGTCTTGTGAAAACAAATGATTTTCTATAGGTGTGCCCAGACTTTTGACTGGTGCTGTATTTATTGCATACAAATAAACATACATACGTATTATATACAATGCAAATTCCCATACACACATATTACTTTGTTGATACCCAGCGAGATATAGAATATTCTCTGTTGCCGCTATTAAAGCAGACAACCAGCTTTAACAGTGACACCCAACCTGTTGTTTGTAACATAGCCGGTTTTAAGGTCCTGATGCATCAAATTAACTCAACAACCCGCTTGTTCATTTTCATTAAAAAAGACACGAAGACAGCATTGTGTGTTATGGTTCACAAAACAAAAATCCAAGATGATTAATAATAACAATACTATACATAAATAATAAAATCCAGCATATAATTTATTATATTACAATTTAATAACGGCAGCAGTGTGTACATATAAAACCTTTTATCCAAAAAAATTCAGTGGATTGGGAATATGAGTTACTTAGTTGACGTGATTTAATAGTATTATTGACCTATGGTACAGTCGAGTAAATCAGGAAGAGAACAAACAAGAGCTCCCAAAGTTATAACGCCAGGAAGAAGCTACTTTGTGAAAAGTTTTTTAATTCATATTTAGCATTCACCCTGTCAAATGTTTATTTGAATATATATATGTATTTTCTGTCCCTCTCCAGAGAGATCTGTTCAAAAAAAAAAAAGAAAAAAACAAACTAAAACAACAATATCAGTTCAAGTTTTCGGCCACGAGGCTAAAAATATCGGTGTGCGTTGTGGGAGGAAGGAGGCCGCTTCGGGTGCGAGGCCGTGGCGGCTCGGTGAATTGCGGGGCCCTCTCGCACTGGCAGGCGTGCAGAAACCCAAGCCTGGACTCCCAGCTCCAAGCCCCCTTCCCTCTCATACCCTGATATTTCCATGCCCCTGCCCCCTGAAAGGCGTTCTTGTTCCGCGATGTTTGCCATCTAACCGCCGTCTCCAACCCCCATGCATCGCCACGGAGACTTATCGGCCACGCTATCTTCCCACACGCTGGGCGGGGGCCGCGGGGGCCCGTTTTCACCACTGCCTCGTCCCCTAATTCCCCACCCACTGGTCAGATGGCTTAACATTCATTTCAGAAAAAGATTAAAATAAAAAAGAAGAGTAAGGGCTCAGTTGTACCTACAGTACTTGGGAATTTTAAGCAGGGGAAAGTTGGCGTACTTCAGAATCTCACTGCTACTTAAGTCAGTGATGCACATTTCCTGCTATGGAAAAACATTTTTTGTAGTTTAGAAATAACATGTAAACTGATATTACAGTACATGAAGATCTTTCCCAACACAAGATATGACAAAAATCACACAAACCTTAGAAACCTTCAAAACTATGAACTATTAATCTGTATTAAATCTGTGATTCTGAAAACCCTTGCCAATTGTGATCTCATGTAGCTCATATTTAAATCAGTAAATTCTTGCACTGTAGGATATTTCAGTTATTGAACTCTGACCGTTTGTCCTCTATGGGTTCATGAGCACTGTCCAGAAATGCACGCAAACCGGCTAATTCTGATGTACTTTCCTGCTGTCAAAATGTCTGACGTGGATTAGCCGCAGACTCCAGACGGATCGAGGAGCCCATTGTAGGCGCAGTACATGTAATAATAAACCCTGGCCAAGGTCGAGCCCTTGCAGAGCCTCGAGGAATGAGAGAACGGGAGGCCTGTGCCTGACTGTGCAGATGCTACACGAGGCGCTGGGTGAAGGACAGCTCAGCTGATGGATTCTCCAGTGGTGTGACTCTGTCCTGCCGGCTGCAATAGGCGGGTTTACTGTTTTCCAAGGCCTAAGTCGAAGGTTTTCTGAGATGCTGTTAAATAAGAGTCAGGCGCAGAAAGGCAGGACAGGAAGGTTTTAAGTTAAATTCCAGGTACATTCAGCGGGTCTCCGGAGATATATTCTGGGGAGAGGTATTTAATGCAGTTCATGTCAGAACACAAAGAGAGGGAGATACTTCTTGGGAATTTGCTATAGGGAATGATTGCCTCATATTTCATAACGGATACAAAAAATGAGTCTAGCAGACGATTTCCCGTTTTTTGTACAATAACGGAGCCAAATTTAAATAAGTACTTTAGTCCAGTTTCATGACATTGGAACGTTAATAAACATAGTTCTGGCATCTTCCATAGTTTGCGATTTTTAACGAGAAGTTAACCCTATGCTCCGAGATAGACTGATGCTTTTTAAGTCAGCGCCATCTTCAGTGTTTGTTCAAATGTAAGAACATTGTGGATTTGCTGCAGCTCGGCACAGTAAGGCTTTAGTTAAAATTCAGTTACTCTGAATGCCTTACTGCCCCCCAAAGTATCTATAATATTTTATAACTGTAGCATTTCTAAGCCTGTTGTTTCTACACTGAATCAAAGTGAATTTTACAAAGATAAAACACTTTCAATGGCCTGCCTTATTGTAAAGGAACAACTCGATGCAATTCAGTTTACAGGCTACAAGACCTATATTCTGTCATATTTCAAAGTTGAAAACTGCAGCATTTTTCATGGACTTTCCACAAAAGGTTCTATTCCTGTTCGCCCGTTCGGTCATCTTGTAAAATGTAACCGGCGTTCACATTTGCGTCACACTTTCCTCTCCATAAAACACACGTGTGAATGCATCACACGACACGCAGACTTTCGGCACGGAAAGATCTCCTAGAGCCTGTAACGACTTGGATTCCTTCAACGATTCCAAACCTTTAAAACACCGTCTGGTAATTTTTCACAGATTCTCCTTTGGTACATTGCAAACACCCTTGTTCACCCATGCAATTAGCATAAAAAAAGTGTTTATTCTTAGGCTTGCTCCGTCTGACAGATATTTGTTGCAACATCACTGAGCTCCATGCGAATAATTCGCAAAGAAAGTGCAGGGAAAGTTCATTTTAACTCACAGAGCAAAAATAGGCCCAAGCTGAGAGTCTTTGTCTTACCGGGATTGACTTGCGTCCTCACGGCTCCTAGAAGCAAGAGCAGAAGCAGAGGAAGATGGTGCCTCATTTCAGCCAGATTCTTCATTCCTACCACATGCAGGACAGAAAGGCTGAAAATTCAGAAAAGGGAGAACAGAAATTAAGTTTGTTGTAAAATGCTGACAATTGCTCATAAGGATATAACAATACGGAGGATTAATGGAAAATTATGTGAGAACTGCTGCAAACTTGCGTGTTTATGGGAATCACTCTGCTTTATTTTTGTAAAAGGAAAAGTTACATATTACATTTAAATGAACTGGTGCATATAATAAAGAGAATACTTTATCCTAAAAAATATGTGCAAAGTGAATTCAGTCAACATCCATCCATCTACCCACCCACCCATACTCCATAACAGCTTATTCAGTGCAGGATCATGGGCCTGAAGTCTATCCCAGGAAATACAATGGAGGAGACATTCTGGAAGAATTAGGTTCAGTCAACAATGCAAATGTGTGTGAATAAGTACCAATTTATCAAATTAAAGAGTAAGTCCAAATTTTAATGGCTCTCTCTCACACAGAGGTAAAAATCCTAGTCAGTTTGGTCTTATTCATGGAGTTTCGTGTAAACCATGACCTAAAAGGACCTCAGAGGACTTCGGTAGAGATTGAAGGGTTCAATTGTTTGGAAAGGTTAAAACCATTGGAGAAAAACATTCTGGGATTTATCAGTCCACTGCAAGACAAACAAGCCAGAAATTCAAGACTATACTCCACTTTCAAAATTAGCCAACAGATCAACAAGGAAAAGTGCCATGCAGGACGTCCAAAGAAACTTCAAGACCGCAAAACAAAGCAACTCTGGGCCTCCCGTATTGCTGCTGACAGCAAGGCTCATACCAAAGTAATATGACAGAAACTCAAAGGGGTTAGCCAGAAGTTAACCACTATACTCTTCAGTTTACAATCAACCATTTGGATGACTGAGTAGATATTTACAAGAATGCTTTCTGGACAGAGAAGCCCAAAACTGATGTCTTTGTCTCTTTGGATTCAAGCAAAGATATCACAGCTGGTGAAAGCTTTATCAAATGTGATGGTGGGAGTGTCCTGCTTTGGGGCTGCTATGCTAACCTACTGACAACAGCACCGGGGTGATGAGTAGCTCAGGGGCTTAGGACAGTAGCATGGCTAGTAGAGTAGAGATTTCACCATTGGCACCATAAGCAAGACTTAACTTCAAATGCTGACTGACCCTGTTTTCTCAACTACATGCAGCTTTGGGTAAAAAGTGTCTGCTAAAAACATATAAATGTAATTTCCCATTATGTAGGGAAACTGAAATATCCTGGAGGAGAACATCACGCCCTACGAGCTGAAATTGTCAGTAATAGGAACTGTAGCATGACAGTCAGTCTAAACACTCTGAAAAAAATCTACCAAAGAATGGATTAAAGGCAAGAAATTGTGTGTCTTTGCAAATGTTAGGTCAAAGCTCATACCTCAAAACAACAGAAATGTTGGAAAGACTCAAAGCAGACTGAGCCCAAGCATAACGCTGGAACAGAAGAGGAAGAAAGAAAAAAAAAAATGCTCAGAGATGCTCATGTCCGCTCAGTAACTAGAGGAAATGTTTGGTTTCACGGCAGATAAAGGAAGTGCAATAACTCAGAAATGAAAGGCTCATTCATTTCTGTACACTGACCCTTTTGTTACAGAAATGTTTTGTTTAATAAAGACAAGAACGACTATGTTTCTGTTTCAGATTATCTTCCTCGACTACTGGGGATTTTATAGGATTTATGAAAGACGTATGAAAGATGAAGGTTGGTTATCCTTCCAAGCAGTGTTATATGGTACATTTGAATCAACCTGTATTTGCAAACTGGTCATAAAACAAAAGCATTTATCTGGAGGTCAACTCTTTTACGAATGTATTTTGGGTGAGGAGTTTGGCATGGATGAGCCAAAGTAGTAAGAAAAGCTCATTAAAAATGTCTTTTAAACTTGTGCATAATCCTATAAATCAAATATTTTTTGCAAAAGCATATTAACATTTGTTCCTCACTATATACAAAAATATTGTTGAAATATAAAGGTGAAAAATAAATATGGCAATCTTTTTTGTAGTAACAATATTTTTTTTACGATTATAAATAGTATTAATACTTCTTTTCAATATCTTCAAGTACTTTCAGGATGGTGACTAACAAACGGAGTTCGTTGATAGAGCAAAGGTTCACCACCACGCTCACATCCCTGTCCTGGACTGCTGGGTAAGTTCAAGCCACCGGTTAAACACACAACAGTAGCCACAGGACTCTGCGGAGAAATCTGAAGAGCAGCATTGGGGGGTTTTTTCTCTCTAGTTTTCATCTCTGGCCAAACACAACCCTCCTCATGACTGAGAGGGGGATCTTATAATGTAAACCAATGTCACCTTCATGTCCAAATGCGCTTCCTATAGAGGCTGAAGTATGTCGAAAATAAGATTGCAGAGCAGATGCTTAACAACGGTACTGACACATAACCTCACATTGTTTATTAGGATTAGGGGGTCATTTTAAGCTAACCCAAACTTTTCTTCACAGCGTCAGGAAGTCCTGCTGCTCCCCTATTTCATAGCCCCTAATTACCGGGTCTGGGTTGGTCAGAACCAACAGGAACCCAGTGCAACGGGTCCATTTGTTTGAAACCTGTCTGCCCTGTTACGCTACGTTCTCTGTTCCCATATTTGGTGGGAGACCAGGATCTCGGTGGCGCTTAAGGCTGAGATGGGGGCTCTATGCGGCTTAAACACCACATCAGCGAGAACCTCACCAAGAACAGAAAAACAGAACAGTTGAGACGTAGGTTATCCTTCAGGGTCTTATTGGATAATGCCAAAGGCAAGAAGAGCCGGGTTTGCGGCTGTTGATGCTTGAAACTGCATGCAGAGGTGGAGCCTAAAATAACCTCAAAAGCTGATGGTATCCAGGGTGGAGGATTTGTGAACCTGCAAGCCCCAAGTTTCATTTTATAAGCGTAAAGCGATATTAGAGAGTGCAACCCAAATATGGAATCCGAATCCTAACGTACTCCTCTCAGTATGAGGCCTGTCATCCCAAACACAGACGGCCTCGGTTGTGATTGTCTGTGTTACGATATTTAGAGTTTTTGATGGGTATGTGATTTTTTGAGGGGTATGTGATTTTTTGATGGGTATGTGATTTTTTGAGGGGTATGTGATTTTTTGATGGGTATGTGATTGGTTTTATGCAAGCAGAGGGCTGCTTGTTTACGGCTTACGGAGGATCAGATGTCACGTTTTTCACAACACGGCTGTGTTGCATGCCAAGCTCTCCCTGGTAGCTGGACGGGACGGACTCCCATGAAAGGTTTATGCAGCCCTGGCTGTCCAACTTGCCATCTCCCCCCTGCTCACCTTTTGTGTCTCAGATTTAACTGTATTTGACTCTCCCTGCCGGCCCCTGGATGATGGGCTCCCCCTTTGAGTCTGGTCCCTCCCAAGGTTTCTTCCTTCTAGGGAGTTTTTCCTTGCCACTGTCGCCTATGGGTGGGGATGCTGTAAAGCGCTTTGAGACAATGTAATGTTGTGAATGCGCTATACAAAAATAAATTTGTTTGTTGTTGTTGTTGTTGTTGTTGTTGTTATCACATCACATCACGCAGCACCGACAAAAGCTGCACAGCATTTTATTTTACACTAATTTTCAGATGCTTTTATCACGGGCGTCGTCCAAGTGAGAGAGCTGGGTCAGCAAAGCATGGTTTTGACCGGTAATGTGCAAAGACAGTAAAAGGCTTCGGCAGAAAGTACGCGGACAAGCACGCGTGCACATCACCTGCCAGTGCACTACATCACTCACGAGTACGTGAGACCCAGTCATCTGTTGCAGGATTGGAAAAGAGAAAAAAGGAAAAAAGAAAAATGCACTCAAAAATGAATACATTTCTTTCACACTTCATTATTTCAGAATCAATAAATAACAGAAAGGAAACTGCCAAAAAGTAAAGTCATACCACACTTTTCCCAAGTCCACATTCTCTGCATAATATTTATGCCTGTCCTCACACTGAAAGGAGCTCTCAAGACCCCTGCATATACAGTATGTGACCAGAACACACCTGTATTATATACCAGTTACTGTGTACAAAAAACATACCAAGCAGAAGCCAAGAAAATCACTGTAAAACATTAAGCATGCAGTGCAGGTCTTAGCCTGGAGGGGGCTCTCTATCTGCATAAGGTCTATAATAATGAGCTGCAGCTTTCCTATCCTACCTGATAAGATACTGTGTGCCTAAGATCAGGTCTGGTTCATCAGAGACAAGGTATGATAGAAAACCTGCTGGACGCCGGTACTCCGGGATCAGAGGTGCCTACCCTTGCTGTACTGGATAAGCATAATTGGAAAAGGATGGAGAGATCCTTAAAATTGTGAGCAGGAACGGCATTTCAAATCACCTCTCCTTGGAATAGCTAAGGTACCCGAGGCAGACGGAGCTGCTTCTATGCAACATTAACGCTGCCTGTACAAAACATTCCTTAATGGTTATTATGGTAATAACTTTGGTCTAACAGCTTAGAAGGCTTATAGCACCAGAAATTAGAATACCTTGGGTATCCTCGAGTAAGAGCAGCCCTCCTAATCCATGCACAGATAGCTTTTTCTCTAGTTGCCTTGATTTCATGGGTTAAAATTCATCATTTCAAAAATAAATTAATACAAAAGGCCATTAAATACAGAATTCTGCTACACTAACACAAAGCTACAAAAAAATAAAACACAACTGTTCTTTGAAAGTTATAAGAAAGGGTTTACTGTCTTCGGTGATGAGATGCAGACAAAGATTTTTGAAGTATTTTTATTCGATTCTTCATCATTCTACAGTTAGACATCTCAGAAATACTGTGGACAACTTTTCGCACGATTTAGGGGGGGGGGGCAGCTACATCAAATCCCCAAACTTAATATATTATACTACACCCCACAGGCTAAACCCCATGTCATCCAGCATAGGAAAAAAAATCTGGAATGGATTTGGTCGTGACATAAACCAGAGGATTTTAGGTTTACTGGCAGACAGCCTACATGGTTTCTGATGAGGTAATACAAAATTAAAAATACAGAGTATCTACAGAAAGAGTTCAACATTCAGGAAAGCTAAACATTGTGCAAACATACCTGACAATATCCAGAAACATGAAGGTTGGCTTCATTTCGTTTTACATTCATGTATAATGTCCGGGGTATTTCTTTAAGGTTCTGCAAAGAAGTTATGATAGGTCGGTGTTCATGCATTTAGAAACTCCGGGCAAAAACGTATTCGTTTTGGTTTTTGAAGCTCCGGCATATGAGAAAAAACAAACCGCACGCATCTATTTTTCTGATATGGCGAGAAGGTAACGTTTCATCGCATACTTCCGAACTCGTCCAGCAGTAGTCGAGAAGCGGCCCCAAAAAAAACAAGAACTGCCTGGCCCAGCTACAGGAGCTCCTCAGTCCCCTAGGTATCAAGTCACACTGGAACGTCGGCAAAGGGACTCACTCCATTCAACTGACACACACGACAGTAAAATGCCAGCCCAACTATTTCTGTACCAAAGACAGCTTTGCATGTTGAAATATCACCCCTTTTCAAAATAAGCAATACAAATATTTCGGTGTGCTTTGATTGTTGATTGTTTTTTGGTGCCTGCCCCATTTTACGAAGTCATGCAATTAACGCAGCCCTGTGCCAACTGCGTGCAATCCTCAAGGTCTGAAGGGAAGAAAAACCTGAAAAAGTCAGACGAAAGGGAGGTCTTTATGAACGGACTGTGAAATTGTACATGTAGTGCTTGTCCTCTTGAGCTAAGCTAGTGGAAACGGATGAATGGAATACGTTATTCATTCCCAATAAGGAAATAGCCGATACAAGAAGTAACAGTCCCAACAAAGCCTGCTATTTCTGGTCATACACATACTGTACCCTATAACGTCAAACCAATTTCATGCTTAGTAAGCAAGCAGCAGCTAAACAGGTATCTAATCTTTAGCTTAGTCCACACTGCACAACAAAAATCCATAAACCGGTAAATATCCATGAAGTTTAGATGAGTAATGTTACAAAGCCAAGCTGAAGCCAACCAAAGTTATGTACAGTGTATATTCCAGACTATTTACAGTATGTAAACAGTCTTGCAGTACTTTACCAATTTTGTCATTTTAAGTGGGGGCTAAATCTAAAATTCAATTATTCCCATATGAATCCAAATACTTTGGATTTGATTTGTCGCATTCACAGTATTTAAATCAATCGGCTAAATGTTTTCAGAATGTCTGGGGTTTCACTGCACTGTAATTACGTTTTAAATAGACACCGGCCTAACGGCCAAAGGTCAGGAAGTGACCTGTATTTTCCCCTGCCTTTAAAAATATCTGAAAGCCTTGGTCATCTGGGTTTTTTCCATGTGCAATCCTACTGACAGAGCATAACTCAAATTTTGCCATGCAAAATCCAAATAATTACATTTCATAAATCTGAATCCAGAAAATTAATGGGATTTCTAGGAAGAGAAACGGAAATCAGAGACTGGTTTTAATTCAAAGGAACGCTGCTGAGCACCAGTACTGGAAATTAATTTGCTTTGAGACCTTGACAGTTGGAGTCTAATTCCCTTAGTTCCGTCTGAGAAATCCATCGAAACCACTCTCCAGCTCATTTTAGGAAAGTTCTACAGAGAAGCCTGAACTCAAGTCCTTATGGCGCAGCAAAAAGGCTCATCTAATTAAAAAATGCAATTATATGTAGTCTTTTTCAATGTGATTCAATATGGGCATGCAAACAAATCAACAAGCATATAAAGCCGTTTTTATTGCAATTATAAATATTCCACTTCAACCAACACTGCAGCAGAAACGCATTCCCACGAGGATACGATTGTGAAATAAAGTTGCCAAAACAACGTCTCTTTTTTTTTTTCCCCTTAGCATATTGTAGCGACTGGGAAGCGTGGAAAGTAACATACAATTTTCTGGTTGTTCTCCCCTGTGCTTATGACAGGACTGGCTTCCAAAGCTCCCTTTTCCAAGCCCCTTCACACATCACTTTCACAGACTTTCGAGATGTCAAGACGAGGCAGAGCCAAGCTGGTGACCGGCACAGAGCTCCGCTCCTCCGTCTCAAACAAAGGTCAGGGGTCATCACCGAGTTAATCAAATTGGCGGTGGGGGGGGGCACTCTTACTGGAAATTCATGGAACACAAACTAAACATGCACTCTATCCTGCAGTATCTGACTCTGAAATACAACGGCTTTGGCAGTTCACAGGCAAATACAAAGAATATCCCTCCTATTAGTACAGCATGTGGGTAAACATTTTATAATTATGGATGCTCTGCTTGATGTCCCCAGACAAAACAGACAAAATCGCCAGCGTCTGTTCACCCTCTGAAGTGTCACCATTGTCTTCCATTTCAGTTATATAATGGATTTCTCAGATTTCTGCTTTAATGATTAAAACATTGAATAGGTTACTTTAGCACATTAAATCTGTCACCTGAGCACGATTAGTGTCAGCTTCGCACTAACGGCCGACCGGCGTCTGCTCGTTAACTGGGGAAAAGTTGGAGCGTCGGCGTGAATTTGAGGTGTGGTTAGACCACTATTCCCATAACGGGCCGAGAGGAATCTACCATTATTATGGGGACCGATTTCTCTGATGCCAAGCGAAATATGAAAAACCTCAAAAAAAGAATCTGTTAAAGTGGTACCTATTGACACAACTTTCAGTACTATTAGGGAGAAAGGGCTTAGGGATTAGCATGGACCACACATACAAATTCCGGCACCGCATGAACAAATGCGTGCTTGACAGACAGACAGAGGAAAATAGTAGCACAACACACGTTAAGACAGAAAAAAACCCAAAACATTTAGACATCATTAGTCAGTAACTTAATATTAAATGACAACAGTAACAGCACAGAGATCACACGTTTGCGAGACTACAGAGATACAAATGATAAGGTATGAATATTGCAGGAAGCTTATGGCGAGCATGGAAGACAGGGCTCCATATTCCCAGGACATGATATACTCACATTTCCTCAGGCGCATCCCATGCAGCCCAACGCCTATTAACTCCATGCAGGCTGAGCTGGCTGCATATCTCAGCCTGAAACCCTGGACCTGTGAGGCAGTAGCAGTACTGAGCTACTTCATTAACAAGATAACTTACTAAAAACAGGGGGGTCGACAGCCCAGGGTGGGACAAAGTCACGTGATCACTCCTTCAGCTCACTGTGAGGTCAAGGGGGCTTTGTCATGCCATCCATGCTCAGGGCTACAGTGCCACCAGTAACATCCCCCCAGGGCAGCACACAGCACCACTGTCACTCAGAGGGTTATCACAATACTTAAAAGTACACAGTGCCACCAGTAACATTTCCAGTCGCTGATGCCCAGCCTACAACTGCAACCCAACATCCATACTGCTCTTGGTGACCCTCTCTCTTCTTCCGGTTTTTCTCTTTTCCACTACTTTCGTCTCGGTTCCTTTTTCCCCATCCCTCTGACATTCTGTTTCTGTCTGCCGTCCTACACAAGGCAAGTGTTACAATTCAGCAATATCTGTGTCAGACTGAAATGGTAAGACTGAAATTAAAGCATTTCATCAAGTTCAGCTTGTGTTAGGCACCCACAATTCTCTGCCAAACGCAGCAGTACACAATCCGTATACTGAAAAATCTCAATCAAAACCACAACACCTAATCATCCATTAGACTTTTAAAGGTCTTTAAAAAGGAAACCACAGACTGATCTCTTCTACCCCAAGACTATTTAAACAATCCCACGAAAGCTGGGAAAATGATTGCCAGCACAGCATCGTCTCAGGGTGCATTTTACTGGGGCTGTATCTAAGCTCACAGCATTCTGCTCACTGTATCTAAGCTCACAGCATTCTGCTCACTGTATCTAAGCTCACGACACAAGCTCCAAGACATATTAACGCACAGACACCCTATAGTGAAACATGTGCTTTTGATTCCTCCCTCCTTCTGGCCTTAACACGCACTGCAGATAGTCTCTTTTTTGGGGATGCATAAACTCCAAAACAAAAACCCAACGGCCATAACTGGAAGCAGGTGGCAAAGTGAACAGATGCGNAAATTCAGAGAAAATTCAACGTTAGCAGATTCATAAAAAGATGCTGTGCGGAACAATTTGAGTGCATTTTGGGTAATTTGTGTCATCTGGGAAAGTGTGAAATAAGGGTGGATGTAATTACGCAGTAGGGACAAGTCAGTATTGTACAGGTACAAGGTGTCAGGGGCCGTGCTGTTTGAAATAAACGCTTTTATAATCACCTCCAGGTGCAATTAATCAATATTCCCTCTTAGCCAATACAAAGATACAAGAATCAGGCCAACAGTGCAAATTAATTATTCAGCTGTAATTTTATAGGTATAAAAACAGTCAGTTACCCAATCGCAAAACTATTTAGGGCTATTTTGTTGCAATTATTTTAATCACACACTAAATGGATAAAGAACAGCTTCTATTTCAGTTTTCTGAAATGAAAAAAATTTAAACTGAAAACTGGGATTAGCCCGACATCCTGCTTGAATTTCAATCCATTTATTGGTGGATTAGTATATTTAAATTGTGAAATATGTGAACATCATGAAAGTGGACATCTCATCTATAACTGGACACAAAGCATTTTTGTTGATGAAGTTGGCATTAATATGGTGTTGGCTCTGGCCCCAGCTTACACAGATAAACACCACTTCTATTAAATGCACCACAGTAAAACGCGCTGTTCGGGGTGACAGCATTAACTAGAAGGAAAAAACATAAAAAGTAATGAAAAAAAAAAGAAACTGCAGCCACCGCTCTTGCCAGAGAGTTACGTCGATCTACCTGCGAGGAGAGAGTCTCCACTCATCAAACAGACCTACGAAGAAAATATCTGATACCCTCAAAAAAGCAAAACGTACTTAAATCATGCGTGACTAAGACAACGCCGGCCGAAATGAAGAATGCCTCCCTCAAAAGCAACCACTACAAATATGCTCTCCAATTCAAAAGTACGGACGTAAAACAGTAGATCAATGTTTCCCAGTCCAGTCCTCGGGGGATCAACAGCCGGTCCGAGGTTTTGTTCCGTCCAAGGTCCCGGTCAGACAGTCCATGTTTTTGCTCCAAGCAAAACTCATGTTAAAGCAAAAACATGGACTGTCTGTGGGTCCCCAAGGACCGGACTGGGAAGCACTGCAGCTTATTATCCTAATACACAGATATACACACTTTTTTCTTTTTTAAAGGATCAGGACCGAGAAACCAAACAAATGCAGTCATGCAGTTTCCTGACAACATTAATTCTGAACTGTCGACATAATTCTGTCATTTTGTCAAAAAAAGTTACGTGTTAATATTCAAATAGGTTTTAATATTCTAAACTCAACAGCACTTATTACAGAAATATGTACACTGCACTGTGAATCTGTTAAATATCATACTGTACTATACAGCAGACCTACCTTGAGGCACAAAAAAGCCCCCATTTACTCACTACCATCACTGAAAACTGCTCCGCTGACTATAACCCGGCCCTGAGAATTAGGAGCAGTTTGTGGACAGAAAATTTCCACATCACCGCATTGACACAAAACAAAACAGTTTTTTTTGTATTTATTCATTCTTACACCTTACGGAAGTGTTAGCTGTGCCTCGTTTCATTTTGACATCACGGATCTCTCTCAGCAACACGTAGCCATTCTTCCTTCCCCGTGCCTGAACCTGCACTCCCACCTCTCCTGAGTCCTAAAAATAACAGAAACTAGCATTAAGCTAAAGCATTAACTGTGACCCCTAGACCAGAGACACTGCTCTACTGTTCCAGGGTTTAATCCATTAAAACAGAGACCAAGGTGGCATCTGAGAATTATTTACCGGAATGTCCCATGTGGGATTGTTTATGACGGTTAGGCGGTAATCGTTTTGGGAGGGAAGGGAATTCTGGGCTAAAAACAGAAGCCGTGCCACCCAGCTCTTCTGTGTATACTCATGTTCGGGCATCAGGTGCACAAAACGTTAGACAATAGACACCCACAGTGATTCACAGACCTGTCACAAGGCTGCTCTGTAGTGAATGCTGATCTGACACACGTCTTCCAGCTCCAACCACTCATTTTATACACGTTTTCATTTCCTTCGCTGAAACCGTTTGAGGTGATAATGGGGGCGATAAGGTTTGGCTAGACTAGAGATTAATTTTTTTGGGCTGTTGACTTGACTTCAGGCTGAAAAAACAAGCAGAACCATTTGCAGGTGACATCCCAGCATGAAGGGCCACAGCCTAGAGACTAGTTAACAATCCTGTTAAAACTGAAAAATGGAAAATGAACCAATTAATATTGCAGCATGTAACACTGGACAATAGTGTAGTATTACATTATTATTTATGTATTAAATAACCAAAAATGAAATCTTACATACTGATCTCATGTTAATTCATCATTAATAAATTGTGATGCATATTTTATCTCAAGCAGTTACTATATTTGTTACTATATCTGTCAATTTTGTGAACTACTGAAGAAACTACTAATTAACTACTGAAGGAACAAGTACTGAATAACATCTTTTCATCAAGTAGCAAATATATTTAGTCATAACTCATTACTGAAGAACAAATTATGAACAAGTATGTGTGTCTTGTCAAGTGAAATGTTACCACCCGGTATGACTTCAAGAATCCTGCAATGATTACCATTAAAAACATCGATATGTAGGCCAGTTCCTGATTTTAAAAGTGACATATTAAAACTAACAAAATTTTAAAAGCAATAGTAAGCAAACCTGTGTTAAAGGCCTTGCCCTGAGAGCAAATACCTGCCACACATACTTGCGATGTCTTTAACCGTGTGGAAAAAACCAGGGAACATTCTCCGGCTTTTTGCGGTCAGCGGGTCATGAACGAGACTCGAGTAATTGCTCAAAATAGGGTGGGGGCCACATAGCGGTCAAGCCATTCGCAGGTGAATTTCACCATAACATTCACTAACAATGTGAGACTTGTACAGCCAACAGCACGAGGCATGCTATGAATAAACAAGGGAACCGGCAGAAAGGCTGAGGTGTTAAAAATGGATTAGTGTTTGATGCTACAAAGGGTGTCGAAGCTCTGCAGATTATTTTTAAAGACGAAGGAACAAACAGCCGCCACATTATAATGTAGCATTGAAATTTTTGCATTAATTAATGCGACATTACTACATGTGTCACTAAATGTTAAAATTTCAGAATAGCGACACTTTAGGTGCCTTGGGGTGAGTATATAAATATGCATATACTAGGAGGAAGAGGTAAGGAGCTTTCGCTGATACAATGTGTTGCTGCAAACACCACATGACGAATCACCACAGGGATGAGAACCCGAGCACAGACGTGTTAGACCTCAGCACCACTTATTTGGGGGGAACAGAACAGTGTGAGGTTTTTGCAGAGGCTGGAGTGCCAATCCTGCCACCAACCCCCAAATTTTCCCTGGACGTAGATTAACGTCATACCCAGGACAAAGCAGTTGAAGGTTAAGGGCCTTGCTCAAGGGCACAACGGAGCAGAATCACTCCTTGCATTTAAACCAACAACCTTCGAATTCCTGGCACAGACAGGAATGACCGAACACCTCTGCATACTATTGTCCCACACAAACTTACACTCCCCTTGTTCCACAGTGACACACTGTGATTTAAAAGGCATCTCGGCTCATAATTTACACTCTCGCATCAAGTCTTTAATATTTAATTCACACATGCAGCTGTCTCATGTCACCAATTACGCATGTTCATCAACTGATTGAATCAGCAACGTGATCACATTTGAATAAATTCTGGTGCTTTTACCACAGATGTTAAAGAAACACTACAAAGATTAAGAATCGATTTTTTAACGGACTGGAAATTAATGGGAACGAGAGACCACAGTTGCTTCTAGTTCAAACAGGTTATATTATTAAATAACCAGTAGCCAATTTTTATATGCAGTTACTTCTGAAAATGGTTTCAACACCATTGCTGGTGCCAGTCCATGCCAGATCAAAACTCAAATCACACTTGAAATGGAAACAAAACATTAAAACCATCAAAAACTTTATTTTTTCCCCCATTTAAAGCTACTGCTTAAACTATGCAACATCATAAAGTTTCATCAAAGCTTCCATATCACTGAGATGCAAATGCCTGGTTCTTTAGGTGAAGTGTGGATTAAAACCTAGGAAGATGCATTTAAAATGTTTTGCTTATGGTCCAGAATCCAATCAGCTAAATCAATCTGTCAGCATATGAAGGATGTGCACACAGGAATACTGGAGGTATGAGTTTCTGCAGAGTCAGTTTTAAGTTTTAACTGGGGAACTGCGTGTGGCTTTGTAGGTTAAGGCTTCTGGGCCTGCGATCGCACAGCGGCCAGTTTAAATCCCGTGGTCGCCAGGGACGGGCTCATCCTGCTTTTTCAATTCTACGCCGCTTTGGACAAAAGCATCTGGTAAATAAATAAATGTGAACTTGGCTTTGCAATACTTGCTTGCAGTTTTATGGAAATATTCTGGCTCAAAATTACCTTTTGGAGAATGATATTAGAACATCCAGAGAAAGCAAAAACATGTGAAATTATACAATCTGCCACAAGAAAAACTCTGACGTCATCATTTTGGAAAGGAGTGAGCGGGCCTTGAAGACCAAAGCAGGAAAAATGGTTCATGAGAAAATGGGTTCATGACGACTGAAACTGGGATATAGGAAATTATACAGCCAGCTGGAGTAAGGCTGTGCTAATGACAACACTTCCTGTTCACTGGACTACATCACAAGCCGTTTTTTAATGCAATATACCCACCATACACAAACAATGAGGATGTTTTGCACAAGACAGTAACTTTTCTCCACAGACACAGAGGAAGAGCAGCTGTTTAAAAAGATGATGTTATGTTCCCAATTAACCATGTATCTTTAATTTACTACTTAAGTAACAGAGTTAGAAGTAGTCACAAGACTTGGCAACTCACAATTAACAGGCTGTAAAATGAATATCTGAAACTATTACCATGTTACAGATCCACTGTATAACTGAACATTAATGACACAGAAATCAATTAGCATAAGAGTGTTTTTAAGATCAAAGAACATAAGTCAGCTTCAGACATGCTAAAAGAGACCATTTCATCAGGAAATTCTAAGATTAACTAAGATAAGATTCTGTCTCTTCTTTAATTAAAAACAAACAAACGCATCTTTCATTGCTGAAGTTAAAAACCACAAGATAGCTGATTCCCTGGGGCACATAAATATGTGGTTTGTCTATGGAGCAGCACATCCATGTGGAGAGAGAGGGCGAGAGAGAGAGAGAGAGAGACTTCTTAGGTTCCAGCACCCCCCCCCCCCCAGGACCTACAGCCCAATGGTTCACAAATGTCAATGGGGGTGTCCAAGCTGTACATTTTGGTCACTTCAAAACATGGTGCAACTGAATGTACTGAAACATGGAAACATGCAACTTGATCACGTTTTAAGAAATTTTGGTGATGTTAAAGAGACACCATGAAGATCAAAAATCATATTGAAAAAAAATTGGAAATTAATGGGAAAGAAAATGACGACAGTTGCTGCTAGGCTTCCTTTTAGTTTGGGCTTTGCTCCCAACCAGAATCGCCGCTATATGAACCATAGCCTACTTTTATATTTTGTCTCATAAATAACATCCTGAAAACCTCTTGTATGAAAAGGCCCACAATAAACCCCTAAACATTAGAGTCAAGTACAGCAAATTAAGGCCTACTAGACCAGTGAAACAAAATTACGTTCCTACCCCCCAGTGCAACATTTATCACAGGACAGACAACACGGTGGTAAAGAGAGGTACGGAATTATTTACATCCAATCGTTCAGCTCTGGTTTGATTTCACATGAATGCACGACGTACCCCGTGTCTGGACCTTGTAATCCTAACTGCTGACATAAGCGTTTGTTAATTATAAAAGGGAAGATCCCAAGATCCCCTTTGAAAGTGTGACCATATATGTGTAAATGCCATTTATTCAATCCATTACGTGGGTCACAGACTCCTTAAGGTTGCTATCCCTGTTTAATAAATAAAAAGCAATGGCTTGCCCTGTCGTATGTGATGATTCTAGGTAAATGTATTATTTTCCCCCCAGACTTTTTATATGCAACTGATCATATTTCATTTAATTTAGGATTTACCACCCTTAGTCTAACAGCTAACTCTTTTCCGTGGAAAGGACTGTAAAAGAAAATATTTCCACAAAAGGCCGAAAGTAACATAAATTAACATTCGTTTTTAAAACAAAAGCGTACTTTTAAAAACTGCTACAATTGCTTAGCATTTACTTTTAGGAACTCTACTTAAGAGTAGCATACGTATGAAACGTAGTCTACTCCAACTTCTTACCGCATAAATACTGTCACCAAGCTTTTAGATTGTATGCACAATATTTAAGTCCAGGTATTTCAACATATTTTGTTTCCGAAAGTGCGCGAACTAAGTTACCAAGAGGATATCAATCGTTTGTACCGAATGCATGATTTCGCTGAATGTTTCCATTTTGCCGATCCAGCTACTACAAACTTTAAGTGGAATCCGATATCCTCTATTTTCGGCTGCCATGCAAACAAGAAAAGGTGGCAAAACTTGTAATAAGGAGCATTTCAGAAAATGCACGTCCGAAAGACGCAGAAAGCGGACATTAAAAACATTTTATTGGGAATTAACACTAGTGAGAAGCGCAGAAAACCCCCTTCTTTAAACAATAATTGCACATAACATCTTACTTGCTTTCCTCAAAGAGTGGTCTGCCCGTTTTAGTAAACGATATTTTACTTATAGGAGAGAAATGCTTACTTTTGTCAGCGTTTTCGCAATCAAACCATTTGTCCAGGAAAGTCCGTAATCCAGGCTGAGTGACAGCGAGCGGCAGGTAACGCGACGCCGGGCTTCTCTCCGACTCCGTCCGAGGCTGCGTGCAGCTGATGTAAGATGTAAGAGAGTCCGACTGAAAAACTCCACATTCTGCACATTCTCGGGAAGACTCCGAAATCCCAGAATTCCCCATGCCCAGCATAAGGTCCTCATTAAGAAGCCGACTGGTCGACCAATCACGGCAAACCTCTGTTGTACTCAATTATTATTGTTGTTGTTAATAATAATAATGTTAATAATAATAACAATAATAATAATAATAATTGGAGTTTCGCAATACCTAGCACTGTTTCCCCGCCTTTAGGTATAGGGCCGATCAAATCCCACCTCCTCTGCGTGCATTTTGTGTTAATTGGATTTCCTCTAGATTTTCTGGTTCCTTGTCGCAGTCTACACACATGCAAATAGTACAATTGTGTGTGTAAACATGTAGCCTGTGATGGACCGGCATCCCACCCTGTGTACCCTGTCCTGCCTGGGATAGGCTCCAGCCCCCCGGGTGAAATTGATCAGGATAAGCAGTTAGAGGATGGATGGATGGATGGATGGATTATGCAGAAGTGCAAAACACTATACAAACTGTCAAGTATACAAAAGAATTTAAGTTTAATTATATTTTCAGTCAGTATTGCCTAAAGAACTGAATTATTTTATATACTGTATACCAGTCAATATTTTGTTGAAAAAAATGTTAAAACAATCAAAACTTTTCCATTACCGACTGCTGCCAGAGAGATATTTAAGCAATTGACATTTACCGTGCTTCACACCAACGCCGACACTAATGAAACCCAGGCTGCCCTCATATGCTACTTCACTTTGTTATTTTCTCATAGCAACAGCAGAATGTAAATTATTTTGGAAACTATGTCCACCAGGAACCACTGGAAACGGCAGGGAAAATATGTCCATGGAAGCGCTAATGCAGAGATCACACTGGCTCAAGGTCAGTTTTTTCTGACCTGTACTCCATACCTCTGAGGTCTTGCTGGAAGAACGCTCACATTCCTGAATTCTTCATCCAGTCTGTCACAGACAAGAGGGTGTGCAGTTTCCTCCCCTCCAAACTTTAAATTCAGCAAAATGACACACATACAGAAAATATACAATGCAGATATCTATCCATCCATCCATCCATTTTCCATACCTGCTCCATCATGGCAGGGGGTCACTGTAAAGTTTACCATGGGGAATCCATGGGGGGGGGGGCAGGCACAAGGCAGGGAATAACCCGGGACAGGGCACCAATCTCGATTGGGGGTATATACAACTTACAGACAAATTCATACCAATGGGGAATTTGAAAAGTCCAATCACCTTAGCGTGTCTTTGGACTATGAGAGGAACTTGGTGAACCCAGACGAAATGCCACAACAACACAGGGAGAACATACAAACTCCACAAATGTGAAGCTGGGGCAGAAACTTGAGCCCTGATCTAAGAGGTATTAGGCAATATTGATAATCACTGAGCCACTCCTTGCATATAAGCAATATAGCAAAATATATGTAGTGTTTTTCTGAATGTCTGCATGTGCTGTATATATTTTAGTGTATTGTTTAATGGTGATGCATTTGTTGTTCATGTTCTTGGTGAGGCGAATTATAAAACATGTATAAAACCCAGAACATTACATGAGTATATGAGGTAATTTATATTAAATTTCATATTTACTGTACTTTTGGTTATTACTAGGGGACACTGTGAAGCTCAGATCAGGTTAGGGATCTTTGTCGAGAAGGTTGTGGGTTCAAATCCTGGCAGAATATACACGTCACTATTAGGTGCTTGAACAAGGCCCAATCTTTTCACAAAACATTGCAACTGCTTAATATTTTATAAAACTGTCAATTTCACATCCTAAAGTGAATGAGGGCTTGACTTGTGTTACCTACAGATGTCAGTCTGAGAGCAGGCTGGCTTTCACTGTCAGCAAGGTCTGGCTCTATTGTTACATTAATACCAGGCTTTTTGAAAGGTGTCATTTACCTGCGACTATAAGATTATTATGGGTTTTACATAATCGCAAGCACCTTTGGCTAACAAACCTCCAGAGTGGAGATTTAAAAAATACATAAATGGATGGGAAAATGAGGTGTTGGGTTTGGGCAATTACCAGTACAGACTGTCCCCACTTACAGCTGGGCTCCTTCCTGACAGACAGGTCATACGTCAAAGTGGACATATGCCTGGGGACGGTAATCACACTGACTTATGTGTGAGAACGAGGCTGGGAGATGGATGTGAGGCTGGGATGATCACACTGCCGTACAGTAGGGTACTTTGGGACGGTCCCACTGCCGTACGGTAGGGTACCTTGGGACGGTCGCACTGACGTACGGTAGGGTACTTTGGGACGGCCCCACTTCCGTACGGTAGGGTACCATGGGACGGTCGCACTGACGTACGGTAGGGTACCATGGGACGGTCGCACTGCCGTACGGTAGGGTACCTTTGGACGGTCGCACTGCCGTACGGTAGGGTACTTTCGGATGGTCGCACTGCCGTACGGTAGGGTACCTTTGGACGGTCGCACTGCCGTACAATAGGGTACTTTGGGACGGTCCCACTGCCGTACGGTAGGGTACCTTGGGACGGTCGCACTGCCGTACGGTAGGGTACCTTGGGACGGTCGCACTGCACTAGGCAGAGTAGCACTGCTGGGCGTCTATTTTTACACACTTTTGCCTATTGGAAAACAAAAAACATGTCATGTGTGAGACGTTGGTAAGTGGCGGGTTGTGTGTCAGGTACAGTCTGAACGACCATTACGAGTGAAAGAACAAGCCAATTGATAAAGCTCCCTAACTTCCTCATAGAGGAGTGTGCAGATGGCAGCCAGTTAGTGCGGGTTTGGTAAAAACCTCCTGAAACCCTACAGATAACTCAGTCAAGTTGAGGTGACCGATCAGTTAGTCCCATTTTTGGTTTATTTGCGTTCATTGTTGCCTTTCTGATCGGGCATAATCACAGCCACACCTACCCACAAATGGGGACTTAAGCACAGCGCTCCAGAAACCTTATGAATGTACTGGTATAGTCTCATGTTAGCATTTATTCAATGATTAAAATGAAATCTAAAAAAATGGTATAAGGAACGTCACACATTATGCATTTAAGGGTACTACCATTTTATATTATCACGTTTTTTCAAAGGAGGTAAAAAATTAAATGTAAAAACAGCACAGCTTCAAATCAAACTTTGGTACAGAAGTCTGAAACATCTATACATTTATGTGAATTTCACTTCAAGATCCAAAGAACAATTTGGAGAATATGCACGACTTTCCTCCAAATGACTTTTTAATGGATGTGGATGTGCACAAGCGCAGGATATTTACGTACGGGTCTAACACACCATCACGACACAAACGGATTTAAGAGGTTTAAGTCATTCAGAGGTGCCGCCATGCTCTGCTCCACGGGATCACGTGGAGTCTGAGCGGTAACGGACACACACCACCAGTGACGGCGGCCCAAACATGTCAAAGAGCGAAAGACGGAAAAGCAGCATTTCCTGAATGACTATCGCAGACTCGGCCGCGTCAAAAATCCATCCATACTCGGTGCTCTGGAAACTCTGATTCAGCAGAGGCCTGGACCTCTAATACGGAAACCATGCCAACATGTTCACCAGGAACTTGCCCTGTTTATTCCATGTTTTAACATTCCGTCTTTAAACATATGGAAATAACAGCCATAAAAACAACTTAGATTCATGCTGACAGTATAAAACCCATCATTTGCACCTTAATTAAATAGGTCTATAAACAGGATTTTAATTTGGAAAAACACCGAACACATGTACAGTTCCATGTATAAATTACTCTTATAAATGAGTGCATAGCTAATTCCACAGATACTACAATGATAGAAAAGGTCATATGAAAATAAATAAGTTGATTTTTTTTCTCTTCCACTAGCTTCCTTCCTTTGGTTTATTGCACATATATATGTCGACATTCTCTGATATGACGAGGGCGGGGAGGAAGACAGCCAATCACACGCCATTCTTCACCAGCTCGTGGATGCCGTTCTCGTCGATGACCAGGGTAGGGTGGAGCTCGCGGCCTTGTAGGAGGTCCTCGAGCCCCTGAAACCAAGAGAGCGTTTTCTGCATTAGTAAAGATTTACTCCATGACTGCAGTGAATGTTTACTTTTTCCCCCAAAGTTTGCTTTACAGTATATGCTGAATTTTATTCTGAATTGGAAATGCATGATCGTGATAAGCTAGTAACTAATATTTATAAAATACAATTGTCGTCTTCTATTGAAAAAAAAAAAACATCCTGCTTGAGTTCTGGTTTATTGTTCTGGTAAACAAATCCCTCTGTTATATTCCCACCTCTGTGCCCTGCTTACCTCTCCTGTATAGGAGACCAATGGTGAGATCTCACACTTGATTGGTAGATCTGTTCCGTCCTTCAAGCTATAACCAAAGCATGATGAACAAACATTAATGACCTCCAGGTTTTCTGGACTTCGATGCACGAAAACTGGTAAAACTATTTCAGAGAAGGAAAAAAAAAATCCACCAAACAATATAGATCATGAGATTAATAGATTGTATTAGAGCAGAGATACATGTGTGCAATTTTAGAAATCCTGGGTGCAAACCTTTGAAGACTAATTATAGAGGAAAGAACAAACAAACAAACAAAAGGAGGATTAATCAAAACAATATATCAGAAATCCTCAAAGCCTTTCTGTTTATGATTGAAAGAATTTGTTAATTAATAAGAAAAGCTTATCCCAAATATTCATGACAGCAATAAAAAAAAATATACCAGTCTAATAGTTTAAAATCCAGATGTAAGAGAAGAAAATGTCACACTCAGTAGATTCAAAGTAACCCCGATTCTACTCCAGAACAGCCAACTGGGAGAGACATGCCTCATTGTCGTGCATCACTTTTAATTGATTAGTAGCTAAAATTGAAAACCAGCCAATTAAACAGTTATTCCTCATATACATATGCGTGCACACAGCTGTACATATATGATCCATATCTGTGGTGGACAGATACAAATCCGCACATGAGACTGAGGTTTTCAATGCATCAACAAGGTTCTACGACGGCTAGCCACTAGCCATTAGCGCAAGCCCCATCACCATGCACGTAATGCAACACTGAAAATATTTACTTTAGCTTCACATTGGGCCCGACACCTCCCGCGGATCCATGTCTAGAAATGTTACACAGGAACAAATATGGTCAATGGGAACAAAAAAAGGCATGTAATTGATGAATGATGGATGTGGTTGTTTAAAGTGGGCACCTGTTGCAAAACAGTGTATGGGGAAAAAAATCTGCCAGTGATATATTTATATTTATAATGTACAAAATGTCTTAAAAATATTAATTTGGCTTCTTGTCATGTAAAGTTGTATAATAAATGTTACAAGCTAAATTACTTTAGAACAAATGTACCAACTGAATGGACCTGACAATTATATATATATATATATATATATATATATATATACATAGCTAAACAGGTGGAAAAAGGTGAATGTTCAACAGTGTAGATACTGTTCAGAAAATGAATGGGATGTAAAAATGTCGTCCCAAGCTGCCTAATATACTAGCTATAAAAACAAAACTAAGCGATTTCATATCACTGTACAGAACGGTGGATTTTATATCATCCCCCGCTGAGCCACATTTCTTCAAGCTAGAACCCATTTTTTTTGCGTGTCGAGATCCCGCCACCGCACACGACACATAACCACATGTGAAGATGAAGATAGAACTCAGCTGACCAAGTCCCATCCATCTGTCGTCACCCAGCCAATCAGATATTACAAGCTGTTTAATAGCACAAGAAGCCAATTGGCTGATCTCGAGCGGGGGGGTGGGGAAGGCCAGGCAGACGTCTCACCTGGGAATGGCCGGCACTCTGGTACCATTCTCGTCGATGAAATGGCCACCAGCATTGAGGACCCAGCGGTGGTGCAGTGACATGAGAGCGTGCCGGGCCGTGGTAGGATTGTCCTTCCCATCCTGGCTGTCAGCATTTTTCAAGGGCGAGAACTCATCCTCCCTCAAGACCTCATAAACCACGAAGGTCCTGACAGTGGCGAGATGACAGAGCGGCGATGGAATGAACTAAGAGGGCTAAGACCCGATGACACCCCCCCTCTCTTCCCCCAATGCGGTACCACTCCAGACACGGAGGCACCAACAACTTTAAGCTACTTGTGTTTAGCGGACCTGGAATCTAGAGCCATTGTCTTTAAAAACTAAACAATCTGCCCACCCAAATCACTTGCTTACCAATAACAAAAACCAGCAACAGCAGAAAATCCCACTATATAATCCACCAAACCCACGCACTCCAAGCCTCACCGGTGACTCTGGCATTGCCAAGAGATAGCGTTGGGGCCGCGCTCTGAGGGGCCGCGCTCTGAGGGGCCGCGCTCTGAGGGGCCGCGCTCTGAGGGGCCGGGAATCTAGCATCCCCGTCGCTCAGCCATAACGGTTCTCCCCGGGCTACAGAGGAAGAAGAGGCCGCCAGAGGCCATATGTTAAAACAGAGGTGGAAAGAATCACCGCACTCACTTGGCGAACTGAAAGATGTCAAAGACAAATTTTTCCATTTTGATCCCATTGGGTTTGTCCGGTTTGATTAGTTGTCCTTGTGTGTCCACGTATGGGATTTTCTTCTGTGCCACGTGGTGCTGCAGCTGGGGTTCGTGAACACTGCAGAGACGAGACAGACGGGGAGGCCATGTTTAAAATTTCAGCACTATCCCGCTTCTTTTGTGAGAATCAAACAGCTTCGCGTTGAGTCTTTAAGAAACCCACTGTCCAGACCAACAAAACTGCAGTGCTTCTCATTATATGAGCTTTTCGATTTTTTTTTGAAGGCCAGCTAGGTCCTGAACGCGCAGAACTCATAAAACATCATATAAACTATTTACAGTGTTTTATTTTCCAGTGCTAGCTATTTTTGACCTCAGAAAAGCCAAACCAGGGGAGAAACAAGGCCATATATGAATGAATCCATTAACGAATGCTAGCTTAATGGACATTAGCCTTACTGCTACCCACTTGACGACGTCTTTGAGAAAGGACAGGGTAAAAAAATGGTTGGCCACATTCCCCGCGTTGAACACAAGCCGGCCATCGGGACCCCGGCTCTCTGCCGTCGTTAGGGTGATCTCGCTGTACTCCACCACCTGGAAGCGGCCGTCCACCTTGCACACCACTCCCACCGCCTCTGTGGGGTTGGTCTTTTCTACGACCTGTCAACGATATGGCATAGTATGGCGTTAAAGGTGTAAGTGAATTAAGCGGCTGCTTAGTGTCCGACGGCCACCAGGGGGCACTGCATCTGAACAGCGTGTCATAATGACAACTAGGTCAATCAATTTTTGCTTATGGTTCTGAACAGGGTAGGGTCAGCTCTGGCATTAATCGATAACCCTGTTAGGGATGGTGAAAGCAGGGGGTGTGGGTGAGCTTGGGTAACCAAGGCTTTTTACATACAGTCTGCAACAAATTAAAAACCCCATCCATCCATATGTCTGCTGCAAATTATAGCTGTAGCCTCTGACGATGGCTTTCCACTGAGGCGGAGCTACAGAGCGCGAGGCCACATTAACTGCGTACTTTATAATTTACAAACGGCAGGGCGGCCCCCCAACCCCCCCCACAGAATCTCCAAAGTGTTGCACAGCAGTAATTAAGGTCTTCTGATCTCTGTGGAGAGGACCGCGGTTTTGTGTGCCATGCCTCTACATACGCACGCATAAAACCTGGGCATAAATGCAACTGCTACAGTGGGGGAAAAAATATCAATAGACTAAATTAAAAAATGTAGGCTCTGGGTGGTCTTCGGCAGATAAAGGAAATTTGCTGAAACTGTGACTTGAAACACTGGGGCAATTCCAGGGAAGTTCGGCAGGAAAAAATAAACCTCCAACTGCAGTCGGAGTGATAAATAGCCCGTGATAAATAGCCCATGATAAATAGCCCATGATAAATAGCCCAGGGTCTGCAGCTACGAGTCCTTTTGTAAAAGACAGACTAGCAGCATGGAAAGCCACAGATGGAGGAGGATGAGCCGTTAACTGGCAGCCGTTAACTGAAGCTTATCGTCCCGAACGTCATGGCCCTCTGGTGGAATGGCCCGTCCCAGCAGGGCTGCCAGGGGATTCCTCCTCCAGTGGGCTTCGGGTGATGCACTCCCTGGGATCGGGTTACATAGGACTGGGGCTGTCACATACGTTCTGGATTGGCGAGGACTGATCCAGAGGCTGCATCTGATTGGCCAGGATGAGGTACAGAATGTTCGTGAAAAAAGCCACGTGAGCTTGTATTGATGTATTTCATATGTTTATGCATTTCGTTAAATGACGTCCCTCTCACAAGATCTTACGAAAATGAATAAGCCATATAATGAGTAAAACGTGAAGAGGCCATTAAAAAATAGGAATCATGTTAACTATAAAAACTGTTTAACAATTTGATTTAATGATATGAGACCATCACCTAGCATGACTGAATTTTAAATCATGGACACCATTCAATCAACAGTACAATGAAGCCCATCCATCCATCTTTGAATTTCAGTAAGACAGCAGAGTAGTAGCAGGTGAAAAGCCGTGTGACACGTGAAGAACATGCAAACTCCATACATGTAGGAGTGGAGGTGGGATTCAGCACGAGGCGACAGTGCTACTGACTCATCCGCTGTCCCACCCCGTAAACCCAGCAAATGGGAGGAAAAACGTGGTACATCGCCAGAGCTACAATGGCATCGTTAAACATCAAATCGAGCACATATATTATCCATTAACAGTGTGTGGCTCAGTGGTTTAGGACTCTGCGACTAGTGATCAGAAGGTTGCCGGTTCAAATCCTGATTTCAGCATTGACCAAGGTCCATAATGCCTAGTCTGACCCTGCTGTCTCCACTGCACACTGTCTTGGATAAATAGATCCTACTAATGAAGTATGTTGTTATGGATGAAGAATCTGCTTAATTTTTTTTAACCCACAAATGTTCAAAGAATATTTTCATATCTACAGAAGGCTTAAAAATTAATTTTACTTAGTAAATGTTGCAGATGGACATGAGTATAGACAGGAGTCCCTCGGTATCGATGAGACCTCCTGTGATTCACAAAATCCGCACAAGTCCCTTATATAAAACGGCATAGAATATGCATATAACCTATGCACATTCTCCCACATACTTTAAATCATCTCTTTATTACTCATAATACCTAATACAATGTAAATGTTATGGAAATATGTATTATAGTGTGTCATTTAGGGAATATCGATATGAAAAAAGACCATGTTCGTGTGGATTCAAGTTCTGCTTTTCGGAACTTTATGGAATTTTTCGATTTTATGTTTCTGATCTGCGGTTCGTTGAACCTGCATATTCAGGGAGGGGCCGCTGGACCTGATTGTGGCTTACATAAAATTTATAGTTCTATGAGCCAATTCTGAAGTTATGGCACCACCTAGCAGTAAACTGGGAGCAGTGCAAGCATTTTATGCTCTAAAGCAGGGTTATTCAACTCACGGTCCTCGAGGTCCAAGCACTGCTGGTTTTCCAGCCTTCCTTTACCTGTCAGTCAGGTGTGAAGCCTCTGACCAATCAGAATCAGTAATTATTAAACAACTACCTGGGAGAACTGAAAACACGGCCTGGATTTGGAATCGAGGTCCAGAGTTGAAGAACCCTGCTCTAAAGGGTGTGCTGCCTGTAACTGACCTTGGCGCCACAATCCGCTCCTCTCTGCACGCAGAAGCCGACGAAGGTGGGGTCCGCCACCTTCACCAGGATGTTGTCCACGCAGTAAACGTGGACGTAGGCCATCCCTCGCTTCTCCATGTCCTCCACGATCTTGTTAGTTCCCAGGGCTCGGTACAGACCTCCATTCCCATCTGAAATGAAAAAGCAACATTAGGAATCGCGGCCAAAGTCCATTGCAGGGACTCCATCCGATTTGCCCGCTTCCAGTCTTGTTAGGGTCCTGGGGAATGTGAAAATAGGTAAAAACATTACCTGGTGCCATGGAAACTTTTCCTTTCCCTTCCAAGATGATTTTCCCATTGTAGTCCATGGCGGGCAGCATTCCTTGCTGGAAGAATATGACGTTTTCCTCCTTCAGGCCAAAGTAATTGTGTCGGGAAAAGAAATCTTTGGTGCAGGACATGGTTCTGCCACTGGTCATTATGTACCTATGGGACATCCCATAATTTCTGTTTAGTTCCTTATTGTTGGTTAACGTAGCATGAATAAAACCTGAAGCATGTGTTCTGTCAGAGATAATGTGTGCAAAACTGGTACCACCTTCCTAATCTATTACAGGACCAAGGTGAGCATGGAGACACAGGGCAGACACACACACACACACGCACGCACGCGCACGCACGCGCACACACACGCGACAACAAAGTCACCAATTCACCTTACGGCAAGTTTCTTTGCCAGAAGCAGAAACCGGAATACTCAAAGAGCCTGCCATACACACCAAGCTAGTGGCGGGATTCGAACCCACAACCATAAAGGTGTGAAGCTACGGTACTAACTATTAAACTACCACACACCCCCAGAAATTGCAGTTTATAATTTTAAGTACTGATGATTTTGTCTGTATTTCACATGACAGAAGTCAGCCAAAGTGAACATGAATTAAAACCAGACTGCCCCCCATGCTTGTACACAGTACTGATTTAATTACATGCATGGGTAACTTTAAAAAATCTCTGCGCACAAGTTGTCAAACCCACTGGACGGCGGTACGACTGGCACGACAAGAAGAGCTCTTGCGCAAGCAAATATCATCTGTATAACCTATCATCGCCCGAAAAGCTCTTCCTGCTTCCCATGGACTGTATGACCTCACGGAACAAGCAAGCCAGCTTAAATATCATGTGGGCGTCAGGAAATTCTCTGGTGACACATATCAAAAGTGCACTGCGTCACAGTCTGGTGTGAAAACGCCTTGACTGAATGGGAATGTTCCTATTGAGTGTGACTGTGTTATGAAACTGAAATAAGTACCCCCCCCTCCTCTCTTCTGGGTGACCTGCACAAATACGCAGTCATATGCTCAAGATCACCCCCCGTCTAGATTGTTTTTTTTTTTTCCGCCTCTAATGATTTCCCAGGTGATTCTATTCAGTTCATCAATTTCCTAAATTACTTTCACCCTCTTCATAACTGAAATAATTTTCTCTGAAAGGCACATATCACATTAGCGACTGGTAAAAAAAGCTTAAGAATAGCCAATTAGTCAAGGACAATTAAATCATAAGCATAAGCTCTGGCAGACACTGGGCTGTAACCTCAGGTAGGGGGTGAAAAAGCTCATTAATTACTGACATTCACCTTCATTTATCCAACTGCTTGGACATTTAATTACACAAAATTCCAGTTAACAGCCTTACTACAGTCAGCAAGTTACTTAACAGCCCTGTTAGGCACCGGACAACAACTTTCAGTTCTGAAGACTGCACACTAAGTAAGGCTTTCATTTTAACAAATAATTCTTCTCGATGTTCGGAACAGAAATGTGGAAGAATTCGAATTTATATTTGAATTTGCGCATCAAAAATATGTCAGATTTCAAGGGTAAATTTAGGCTGACACGTTTGTATGGAGAAGAGGGCTTCAGGTCGTATGTATACAGACAGAGTCATCTTTCAGAATTTAGTAGCGAAAATATCAGCGCAAAATATGAATACAAGCATTGTCAATACAGTCTTCATGTAAGTCTCCTAAAAAGCCAAACCTCATGGAACCTCATGGCTGACCATTTTAAAATTAAATTAAAATTAAATAAAAACTGCCCCATGTAGTGGAAATCTCCACATAAACTCAAAAAAGACTGATCTCTTGATTCTTAGCGAAAATGTCAAAATAAAAGTTTCCTGTTGTCCTACAAAAGATCCAAAATTCCTCTTGGGTTTTTCTATCATTCCTTAAGTCCTTAGAGAACATTTGTAGATAAGAGTTGTGAGATAGGAGGTGCCATATGTTCTTGGTATAGAGACCACCACACCTACCATGGACCCTGAGGTTTACCACCATTGATGGTGCATTTCCAGTGTGTGCATCAATACTGGCTTTCATGCACCTTATCATCCACATGGAAAACATGAATAAAAACCTTAAGAATGTGGAAATGTCATCCTCCAAAAATGTTCAGGAAGAAACTCCAATTCTGACACCAAAGTTCATCCACATGATCAGTCTTCCACACCTTCCTTTGAAGTCCCGCTTCACTGCTCATTCATCGCCCTTTTGTAAATTCTCCTTAACTCCTCACAAACTGTATTGATCCTAAAACACTTCTCCAATCTAACACTGACTAAAAAGTGACTGGAATGTATAAATGGCAGATAAGCTACAGATATGGGAGGTAAATATTTATAGCAGTTTAAATTTTAAATGTCTTTCTAATTTAAAATATTAATACCTTTTATGTTGGTTTTGAGGTCTATACTGTAGATTTTTTAGCACGTTATAAAAATAAATAGTAAATAAAAAAACCAAGATTTTCTTTCAAGCAACCACTCTGTGACTGAGTCTTTATACTCAAGTGGTTGGTTAAAATAAAATCTGGGTCCGGAGTTTTATTTACCGGACCGGATTTATGCACCTCTGTAACTGAACATGGTCACTCTGAAGCACTCAGTGAGGTTGTTGTAACTATCATCCATAGAAACAAATACTAATTCTACTACCCCTATTTTTATATATAGTGGATATGCTGATTCTCTCCCCCCCCCCCGACACTAACCATGGTATACAGCACTTGCTTTGGTGTTTCTGTTCTGCGAGCTGCTGCAGTCTTAGAATCCGCTCTGCCTGGATCTGGAAGAGAGTCTTGCGGGATGGAAGGCCAACGTTGCACATTCCTTTGGGATACGGGACCCCCAGTCTGGTCCCCTGACCGCCAGCCAGCAGAAGAACGGCCACTTTGTTCTGGGAAATACGAAGGAGTCCTGTAGGGGGCGACATTGAGAGGCGCAGCAGCCGAAATGAGGTCACAAGAGCCAAGTGATTCACACTGCGGATGTGTGATGCAGTCAGAATGACCGAAAGCAGTTTAACACTCATGGAAACTTTAAAAAACTAAATCTGAAAATGGGAAAAAAAAAACGAATTAAGAGGTAAATATGAGCACAAAGTAGTTACTTAATATTTTGCATTTTTCAAGCATCACGATATCTAAGGAAAGTACGATTATGAAGCTTTAATCTTATTTAAATTGGACTATTCTTCTAATGTCACTGGTGTGTATTTTTATTGCATCCCATTCAATACTTAAGGCCATATATTCATCAGTGTGCCGATAAAAGCAGATACCGGTAAAGATCACCACAGTAATCCACGCCTCCTCCCTCCTCATCAAAGCCAAGCACTGACACGCAGACAAAGCTTCCTGCTCGTATTATATTGTTAATGAGTCACTGTTCTGAAGGTTAAGCCCATAACCAGGATGTCACCTTAGAAGTCAGCAAGTTCGTTTTGTTTGTTTCTGCTGAATCCAGGTTCGACGACGCGCCGAGGCTCATATGAATCACAGAGAAGCCCGTTTACGTCAGACTTAAGCACAAACAGATGTGTGCAGCCCCCCACTCCGACTCCCACTGGGAGGCTAATGTAACTGCATTGCCCTCAACACAGAGAACAGTAACTTGAGGGCCCCTCTGTCATTCCCTAACAATCGATCCATTTCTTGTTGTTCTTGATTTAGAAAACTGGGCGACAAGTCAGTTTTGCCCATGAAAAGGCCTCTTAATAATTCTTCCCATTCTCGAGTCCACTTCACTTAGATGTTTACATCCTCGCCCCTTGAATAAAGCCTTCGGAAGGTTCTGAGAGCGATAGAGCCTCCTGTATGCAGTGAACTTTAGGTTCTAGCCAAAACTCTTTTGATATTGCAGATTCTAGTTACCACATCTAAATTGTAAACCATAAAACATTTGACAGCTGTCCACATTATTTACAATGTTTGTGTGGCAAAAAAGGACTGTTGCTACGACAAACGCAGCTTCACGCCCTTTCAAATCTGCACGTTAATCAATTCCCCGTACATCGCTACAGCATGGTATTTTACTGAGAGCGCAATGTAAACACACACACTGCGACACACCCAAATCCTGGCTAAGAAGAGGGACCACAACATTTTTAGAGAACAACAAAACACCAAGTACTGAGATTTCTATTTCCATTTCCTTTTTTGGGCTAATTTGAAACAGGATGTCTTTACACATTAAGACAGCAAGGGTGGTTATTTGTGGTGATGTGTGGCTCCGTGGGCTACGACCCATGATCAGTTGGTCGCCGGTACAAATCCCATGGCTGGAAAAGTAATTTCACTGTTGGCCCATGAGCAAGGACTTAACCCCAAACGCATCCGGGAGTGTCGGACCCTGCTCTCTGATCCTCACTGGTATGTCACGTTGAACAGAAGTGTCTGCTAAAATAAACATCATCTGCTACAGAAGAACACATACAGTCCTGTGCGTGGCTCCTTTTAGAGTCGTGCAACACTCTACACATCACTCTAGACTTTCACATTATAAGTGCACATCATGTATGTTTTGTGCTATATGTACAGATGTATGTTGTCTGTTTTTGAACACGCACAAACTACTCTATGTATTACAATAATTCACTCCTATCAGCTGCATATCTTGAACTTACATTTAGTCATCTATCCGAAGCAACTTACAGTAGAAGGAAGGGTAACAATTTCTGTGGGATTTGAGCCCATGACCCTCACGGTGTTGCCACAATGCTTTACTTGTTGAGCTATAAGCACGTTGGGCTCTAATTGCTAGTAATCTGTGGTCATGCTGTCTCTACCTGTAGCAATAATAATAGTCGATACTTTATTGATCCCTGTGGGGAAATTGTCTTTACACCTCTCTCAACTTGCTTCTTTTTTTTGTAGAGTAAGTTGTCCGAGAAGGGCAGCCACCCGTAGCGGCACCCAGGGAGCTGGGGGTTAAGGGTCTTGCTCAAGGACCTGTAGACTTGCTGAGGCTGGGTTTGAACCAGTGACATTCTGGTTACAGGCACACAGGCTTAGCCCACTGAGCCACACGCTGCCCCTTAAAGCCCCACAACAAGCTATGCTGACAGAAACTTCCACCGGCTTTGGTCACGTATCAGTAAGGATTCTGATTTCGAAGGTGGCTCACCTTCTTCCTCCCACGCCTTCAGTTGGTCTCGGTCGCGGGTCGTGCTGCCCAGAACGTCTTTGGGCACGGGCTCCATCCGGCTGTCCACCTTCTCGCTGCTGGCCTGGCTAGACACCATGGCGGCCGCAAAGAAGCCGTTGATCTCTGTGAAGTCCATGCTCTCCAAGTCCTGCATCAAGTCCGCCTGCTCCTCGGGGCTCAGATCATCCCAGAACTGCAGGAGGTGCGACTGCCCTGCCGCTTCTAGTTTCTGGACGATTCTGCGGATATCCATGACTGCCTAATTTGTCCTTCTCTCTGTTAAAACCCACAACAGCAAAGAAGAAACAGATTTTTCATATTTATGTGCTCTTATTATAAATTTAGAGATATACGTCTGGATTGTAATTAATAGAGACAAAGATTTGCGCTCTCCCTGGCCTATTTTTCAGATCAATTAACATCTGGAATACTGGTGACTCATAGCGGCTAGATTAGTAACTTGCATCCACCCTTTTTCTCTACCCACTTGTCCTAATAAGGGTCTCGGGGGTCTGGGGCTTATCCTGGAAGCTACAGGCGCAAGGCACACAGACCATTCACACACAGTCACACCTACGGACAACTCGGTACCTCAAATTCACCTTAGCATGTTTTTGGACTGTGGGGGGGAAGGCGGAGAACACCCCACGAGGACACGGGGAGAACATACAGACTCCACATACATGGAGCCATGGCGGAGACTCGAACCCTGATCCCAGGGGCCGCTGAAGTAAGATTGGTGACTCGATCCGAAAAACGTTTCAACTTCACTTATAACTGGCTACGATTTTTGATTAGATCGCCCAGCTCCGTTTAGATATTGACGGTAAGTGGGGCTCGAAGCGCTCAACATTAGTTACTAATAACTCATCTTCATTTGATATTCGTGATGACGGGAACCGGAGAGTTTCAAGTACTCATAAGTTTTATCAGATATGGGAATGGCCAGTCTTTCAGCCACACCCAGTACAAAGAACAACATCACACAAATAAATAAATGGCACAGAAATACTTTCAGTGAAAACAAGAAGATAAACCACGTTACCATCCGACGTTCGAATGCGTCCATTGAAAGGACCTTTGAAGTAACAGTGATTCCACGTACTCATTACAGCGGGAGACTTTCTTCATCATGCATGATTCAGGGTGGCCCAGTATGAACCCGGACTCGAACCGCATTGCCGGACATCGACCATCGGAGGCGTGGGGGACACGAGGCCAGACTTTACAGGGAAACGGCATCCTGAGTCCAATTAATGAAAGCAATTCAGCCGGATTTACAAAAAGGAAACAAGCAAAAACCACACATACCAACGGAGTAAACTGACCCTTAACAATGTATCTCTCCGGCTTACTGTAATCCGCATCCCCACAACTAGCTATCAGCGACGGCTGATGTCCTTGTGCGATCGGCCCGGCAGTGCGATGGCATAAACCCATCAAAGTACCGGTGATCCAGTTTGCAATCTCAGTATATAAATACACAATCATAAGGAGGGAAACGCCGATCTTACGCACACTGGTCGCCAGCCGCCTCGCTCCTTATGCCGTCTGCTGCGGTCGCTTTGCTGCCGAGGCTCATCCGCCTCCGCCCCCCTGCCGTCCCGGAGACCCGCCTCCTGTCACCGTCACCCCGACGTGGCGACACCGAAATGGCCGATCGGTGACCCGTACAGGCGGCGGGAGGGACCTGCGTCTCTATCCGTAAAAGGGGGCCAATCCGCTTTTCGTAAACGTGCTGCAGCGCCAAGTGCGTAATAAAAATGCTCACGTACTGCCAGTGTTGCTCAACTTAACTGATGTTACAGCAGAGCTTGTGTAAACTCCCTCATACTACCTAAAAGGCTAAACTGTGGGCTGTCCTTACAGTATAAGGCACTGTTTATTTTAGGAATTTCAGTCTGCTATTTGCATTTCATTGACATATTTCACTGTTACACAAATAGGCCTACTATATTCATATATTTCTAGTCTCATACTTTTCTGTATATTGGGCTTTTCTAAGCATCCCTATGATTTTCTAAGGGCTATTAATAATTTTCTTTTCACTCGGGCCAAAAAGTAACATCAAACCTCATTAAATTGATTTTTGATACACCAGCATCCGATACAATAACAAATGTGATTTTTGTTGAAAATATATTTATTGAAAATCACTTCAGATTCTTTTGTCATCGTGTACTGTGTCAGAAAGTGCCAGTACTTTTTATACCAGTGTAATATACAGCATTGTATTGAAGTACATTTTCAAAAAGTAATTTTTTTGGTTAAGCCACATTCAAAAACATAAAGCAGGTAATATGCAGCTGTAAAAATAAGACAACATTTATAAATGAATTTTTAAATGGTGTCAGTTTCTGATTAGTATCATGAATTGCTCTTCTAGCCAGTGACCCTGGAGGTTTGCCAGCTCCGTCCTGTAAAATCTTAGACACCCAGTCACTGCCCAAAAAAACTGCACAGTGACACCATTCCAAAAGTTTGTTTAGGTCTGTTTGATAGGGAAATCAATAGGGATACTCTGCTCCTTGAATAAAATTTGTTTTTTCTCCAAGACACACAACCAAACTCTGGACTCCTGGATGTGTAGCAGCCCTTCCTGGGGTCTATCCCAGGCAGCACAGAATGCTGGTTTACACCCTGACTGGCCAGTCCATTGCAGGGCACATACATTCGTACCTTATAATTTAGGACACCAGTTAGCTTAACTGCATATCTTTGCACTGTTTCCTCCCACAGTTTCTTCCACTCTCTGAGGGCCAGCTTATTCTTTGGGGACCGTCATACATATAAATAAACCTTGGATTCAAACCAAGGGGGAAACCATTTAACATAGGGAGACTGTGCAAAATGCACACAAACAGAGCAGAGATTGGATTCAAATGGCAACACTGGAGGACTGAGGCAAGAGTGGTGGTACCTACTGAGCCACTATGCTGTCTGACTGAACATCTTTCACCTTGAAAAATCATATTCCTGATTTTAAGGTATGGCTTTCACTCCTGGTGGGTGTCTGTAGTAATACAGTTTATTACTATAGTTTTTCTCCAAAACGTTTCCTCTGTTACCCAAAATTGTATTTCTTGTGATCAATACCACACCTTCTTAGTCGAAGATAAAATCAGCCCTTCGTCACTTCCTGTGTGGATCTCGCGTGCGTCCCCCCGGGCCCCGTAGCTCTTTCGTTTCCGGGAAAATGGCCGCCCAAACAAACCCGGGGGCATTCAGCTTATTTTTCCCCTTAATGTTTTAGGGAATGTCGAAAAGCTAAAGGCAGTAATAGGCGTCACGGGAAAGGAGCTCGTTGCTCCTTAAAAACTACTTGATTAATGTGACGAGTCCCGGCGAACTATATGCTTAAGCGGCGGATTCAGATGTGCCGGGGACACCGCCGCTGCCGCTGACAGCTCAGTAATGCTACAGACATCTATAAATATAAAGGACGAGTGTCTGAGCATGGTAAAACTACTGATATTTCACAGTTTACCCAAAACTCAAAAGTCAGGGTGTTAATAATGTGTACTATTGACTGCAGTCGGGTGAGCTAGCTAGCTAGGCCGGTTACCCGGTCTATACACGCACGATGGCTGGCCGCAGTTCGGAATCAAACGGCGACGAGGGCAACTCACGCGGCAGTGCAGAGCAGGCGATGAAGCCGGTGTTTTTCGAGATCTTTGGGGAAATGTGGAAAGTGCAGGCTCGCCTCGGCCAGGGCGTCTCTGCCTCCGTGTACCGCGTCAGCTCTGGGAGAGCCAGCCTGGCCGCCGTGAAGGAATTTCAGGTGGACGCGCAAGGCGGAGATTACGGGTATCACAAAGAGAGATCGGTGCTGGAAGATATTCAAGGGCGTAAAAACATCGGTAAGGCATTGTGATGTCTTATTAAGGCGGACCGCGGGCAATGTTTTACCTGTGCAGTACGTGACTCGACATTGTCAAAAGTAGATCGTTTCTTACGCTCATCAGTAAAAAAAAAAAAAAAAGACTAACACAAAACACGTAATTTATTAGAATTATTTTCCATGGACCTTTTGGTGTGCTGTTTTTTGGATTGTTTGCAGATTTCGATAACATTGACACATATCCAAGATGGATGATTAAAAGACCAAATGACCCAAGCTCATAAATAAGATGATCCGTTTGTCATTTTTTCTTCCTCAGTTACTTTATATGGGGTTTTCACCAACCACAACTCTGTGGGCGTGGCGACTCGCTGTTTGCTGCTAGAGCTGCTGGATGTGAGCGTGTCTGAGCTGCTGGTGAGGGCCAGCAATCAGGGCCATTCTATGTGGCTCATCCAGCACTGCGCCCGGGATGTGCTGGAGGCCCTAGCTTTCCTGCACCGAGCGGGCTACGTCCACGCTGACCTTAAACCGCGCAATGTCCTGTGGAGCGCCGATGACGAGTGCTTCAAGCTCATAGATTTTGGGCTCAGCTATAAAGAGGAACATCAGGTAAGATCTTCATAAGGACATTTTAATAGCTGATCTCATCTTTGTTTGGGGTTTCCTCCTCTTGTCCAAAAATTGGTTGTCAGGGGAACTGATGTCTCTAATTTGCCCATAATGGGTCTGTGTGTCTGACTTCCAATGGATTGGCTTCCCACTGATGGTCTTTCCTGCTTTGTTGCCTGTACATCCTGGGATAGCTTACAGGCTCACTGCATTCTTTTACTAGAGAAGCAGTCAAGGAAGATGGATAGACAGATGTAAAGAAAATTGTAAATTAGCAGTAATTTTGTCTGTCTACTTAAAGAAAATTCTTAGTCAGAAGTAGAAAAACATGGTTTGACTCAAAGCAGTGCATTTTTAAACAGTCTTTCCAATGTAAATAACATTTAATAGGATGTGAACAACTACACTGACCTCATACAGAAGTTCTCTCTAATGCATTTAGCATAATGCTCACAGTTTTAGCAGACTTGTACTGCACCACTGTAATATGACATTAAACAACATTCGAATAAAATTTGTTCTTCATAACAGTCATTTGTACCTGCATTTGTTAAATACTGGATGAGTTTTTTTTTATTCAAAGTAGCTGTTAAAGGTTTTTATAACAATATGATACTGTTCAAGGAAACGTAAGTGTTGCAGTTTAGCCTGCTTTTAATGTCTTTTTCGAATGCACTTGGCCGTCCACTCGGCAGGATGTGAAGTACATCCAGACGGATGGCTACCGGGCCCCTGAAGCGGAGCTGCAGAACTCGCTGGCCCGGGCCGGCATGGAGGGGGACAGAGGCTGCACCACGGCCATCGACCTGTGGAGTCTAGGAATCATCTTATTGGAAATGTACTCAGGAATCAAACTGAAGGAAACTGTTAGATCTCAGGAATGGAAGGCAAGTGATCATGTGGAGAGGAAGGGTTCATGCATAGCAAATTATCCCCACATGATAGCCCATTAAGACATTTTAACTCCTGGTGAAAGAGGCCTCTGTACGTCATGTAGCTAATTACAGTATCAGCACCATATCAAGTAGAATGAACATCAGTTTCTAGCTGGCTTGGCTGTTAAAGGTGATGATTTACACAAATTTACTTCACGTGCCTCAGTCCTAATCCTTTGATTGTTGGTCTATTTTGTTCCTCTAGGATAAAAGTTCTGCGATAATAGACCACATTTTCGCTAGTAAAATTGTGGTCGGTCCAGCGATACCGGTTTACCACCTACGAGACCTTATCAAAAGGTGAGTGGCAGTATTCACCTTTTGGATCTTTTAGTTTTAATTTGAGACGCAGAGCTGTACCTATGTGAGGGACGTTCTCATCACTTCCCCAGCCTCCTCCACAACGACCCGGCCCAGAGAAGCACAGCGAAGGCAGCCCTTTGCAGCCCCTTCTTCAGCATTCCCTTCGGTATGTAGCACATTGGGGGAGGGGCCCCGCATGTGTGACCCCATGATGTCATGTGTCTCTCATCTGCGGGGTCCCATATCTCTGGGTTGCGTCATATCCAAGCGTGCTTGTTGAGCGTTACTCCTCCAACCTCCCCTCCTTGTAGTGGAGGTGGATTCTAGCACCTTTAACTGGGTCCTCGATTTCCTGACACAAAGGCAGCAGACAGTCGGAGTCTGCGGCCACAGATCCAGCATCATCTCGGTGAATGCCGGCTTGCGCCCCCTGCTGCCCATCCTGCTTACCCACGACTGTACTGCTAGATTCAGCAACAACCACATCATCAAGTGTGTGGACGACACTACGGTGGTGGGTCTCATCAGCAAAGGTGACGAGTCAGCATATGGGATGGAGGTGGAGCAGCTAACAGCATGGTGCAGCCACCACAACCTCCTCCTCAATGTTGACAAGACCAAGGAAATGATCATAGACTTCAGGAAAGCTTGCACAGAACAGCACCCCCTGTTGACCACAGATGGCACAGCCGTGGGGAGGGTCAGTGGTAGCAGGTTCCTGGGCGTGCACCTGGCAGACGGCTCACTAACACCATGGTAGCTGTCAAGAAGGTCCAACAGCAGCTCCGATCCCTCCTGAGGCTGAGGCAGGCCAGCTACTCACCACCTTCTACAGGGGCACCATCGAAAGTGTTCTCACCCACTGTATCACTGTCTGGTTCAGAACCTGCAACACCTCTGAACAGAAACAGCTGAACTGGGTAGTGAGAACATCTGGGAAGATCATCGGTGCCCATCTCCCATCCCTGCTGGAGATCTTCAACCTGCACTGCATCCACAGAGCCTCCAGCGTCATTATCGACCCCAACCTCCCCTCCCCCAGTTTGTTTTCCCTCGTGCCGTCGGGGAAGCATCCAAACCAGGACCACTGGGTTTCGAAACAGCTTCATTCCCCAGACTGAACACTCCAACCCGAATCAATGACCAGATACTTCCGTTCACTTCTGTTCATCCATCTTTCTGTCTGTCTGTCTATCTATCTAGTTACAGGTTCTAAAATAGCAAAAATGTGTGAAAATTTACATATCTGGTTTTCATTTGAAAAAAGTGTCACTAAATCATAACATTCCTGGGATTTGACGCGGTGACCTTCTGAGGACGGGTACAGAGCCCTATCGCGCAGGGTTTGACTCACCGTCGGCTTTTCCTTAGCTCCTCACATCGAAGATCTGGTGATGCTTCCCACGCCAGTGCTCCGCCTGCTGAACGTCATCGACGACAGCCACCTTCACAATGAGGAGGAGTACGAGGGTAGGTGCCACACCACTGTGTAGGCTCGCCACCGGGTGGTGCCGGCAGGTGCTGACCGAGCGCTCTGTCTGCCTCAGACATCGTAGAGGACATGAAAACGGAGTGCCAGAAGTATGGTGCCGTGGTGTCTCTGCTGATCCCCAAGGAGAATCCAGGAAAAGGCCAGGTGATAGTGGGGTTTCCCTCTACTGGGCGGGGATGGATGGATGGATAGATGGATGGATGATCTAAAAATAACAGTCTCAATGGCTGTCTACTCAAGCCATACTCACAAGAACCATTTGCTTTGTCAACTCTGTGAGACCACACAATTATTAAAAATCTATTTCTAAAATAAAAATTAAAGATCTGATCTCACCTGCTTGCATTATAATATGCAATGGTCTCTAACTGGTTGCAGGTTTTCGTCGAGTATGCAAACGCTGGCGACTCCAAAGAAGCCCAGAGACTGCTGACGGGACGCACCTTTGACGGGAAGTTCGTTGTTGCCACTTTTTACCCGCTGAGTGCCTACAAGAGGGGCTACTTGTACCAGACAGTGCAGTGAGCCTGCATGTGACCGGGGGTCCTCAGAGCAGAACTGGGGCATCCTCTGATATATGCAAGGCCAAGCTGCCAGGGAAGTGGGCGCAGGGTTGCATGCATCATCGCATTTCACACAGGTCTTTGGAGCTGGCATTCAATTTTAGCAATTGCAGATGTTTAATTAATGTCAGGTGATGCCCAAATCATTTAGACTTTGGAAAAAGACATGCATATTTATGTTGCTGCTTTGGAAAACAATTAATGTAAAGAATTAGTGCTTTGAGCTGTATTCTGAGAGGTCCAGTCTCGGACATTCAGAACAAGACCCGAATGCGATGGTCGCCCAGCCCTGCGTGTGCTTGCTCGACTCACTGTTCAGTCTCGTCACTGATCCGTCGCATTAAGTGACTCATTTCAGCACAGCATCTAGTTACAATAAACATGCACAACATTTAGCTTCCCACTGTACTGAGGAAATGACATCAAACCATGTGTAGCTTGTACCGTTTGTAGCAAAGGTTTTAATAATGTGAATCCACACATCGCAATTCTTCCACGCTCCTTAAATGGGGGGAGGCTTATTATGGACACAGAGATATTTTTGGTTTTTGGGACAGTCACAGCTTATGGGGCAGGCTTTCAGATCTCCGTGGGGTTGATCTGTTTGCTAGGGCTCTGCCTAAGAAACGGTGGTAGATTTACACACCAAACCCACCGCACGAAAAAAACAGTCTAAAACCAGTATGACTAACTGTGTCCAAAGGCCTTTCACAGCACAAATGCACAGTGATTCTGTGGCACGATGCCCAGCACCGTTTATTGGTCACATAGATGACAGGTCTTTGAAAGAGGATGAATCTCCAACGGAAACGCAAAGTAGCCTCCAGCGGTCCGTGCTTTCAGAAAGTATTATGCTATGGAATAATCTTTGCAAATTAAAACTTGAATCTAGCAGTTCAAAATGCACGTCCCGTCTGAACTGTTCACCTAAGACACTTTGATAAATCTGTGATCAATCCTTTTTTTTTGTTTGTTTGTATATTTCAGTGAACCAAATACAGCAGAAACTATTTTCTTATGAAATCCTAGGGATGAAAAAAATGTTCATCCCTGGATTTGTAGTGTATGTGCTGATGCGTGAGAGTGTGGGAGATTCAACATGGCTGTGTCAACATCACTGTTCTAGCTGTTTGCAGATGACCTGTGGAGAGATTTCCATGTTGCACAGCTATTTATCATATAGCAGTTGAGGCTGTATTCTTTAAGAACATGGAGAAATTCCCCAATATATTTGCTGTTCTTGTACAAATATCTGAAGTATCTTTTTGAAATGAAAATTCCACCTTTTGTATCTGACTTTGGGCTAAACATCTTTCTCTGATTAACTCTTATGCTTTCCAAATACACCTTAACCTAGTTATACTTAAGTAATATTAACTAAAGGCTTGATAGATGTCTCATTAAATTACTCCATCCTTCCTGCTAAGCACAGATAATAGGTTCAGTAAGTGGATAGCTTATAAGGTTAGTCTTGTCATAAATTACTTGTGTTTTCCGTAAGGTTATATTTTAATATTCAAGTATTTTAGCTTTAGGTGTGGACATTTATTGAACATTTCTCAGAACATTTGAACATGAACTTTGGCACTTTTCTTAGGTCCCATTCATTGGTACTTGATTTCCTGATTGCAGGGCTATGATTGTGAAAGGTGACTACTGTTTATTTTTCATTTTTTAAGGTATGAACAAAGCAGCCACTCCCTGTAATCTAGGGGAACCTGGCAGCAAGTCTGATGTGTGATTATGTGCTAGTGATCATAAACATGCCATGTTGCTAGAATTTATCATCAACACTATTTATCTGCATCTCAGTGTGAAGTTTGAATATTTCATATTTTAAAATGTAGCACTTAGTCTTAATATCGGTTTAAAGTATTTATCAGTCAGCAGAATTGCTCTGGGGTGCACAGTAGGTCAGGAAGTTGGTGCCTCAACTTTCCATGCCTGGGGGGGGTTGAATCTCTATTCTCTCCCCATTTTCTAGGTACTTCAGTTTTCTGCCTCCCCAGTCCAAAGTTGGGGTGAAGTGCTGGGTGTGTGAATCGGCCAATGCATGCCTTATGACTGACCTGTAGGGGGCGTATCTGTCTTCACTGTGTGAGCCTCCAAAAGACAATCTCCACAACTGTAAGAGGAAAGATAGTTCGCCCACTTAGACAACACAGATTAAAATTTAAAGTGACTGTTTTTGATTCCAGAGACAGATCATGTCTTGGTGGTTTTAATTTGAGAAACACCATTTAAAGGAGAAAATGTATACAGTTTTTTCCCCTCTGGCACAAACTTTATGCAAGGAGACAGTTTGTATCGTTCACTGATTAGGTTCAGGCACCGCTGGTTGACTGGATGACTTGACTGGATAATATCACTCTTGTGTAAGATTCACATGATTTATTAACTGTTGTGCAACGATCTGCATAACCATAGGCATCGTTAGGGATGATTCTGTGTGAATATTAGGGTGGAATGTTTACATATTCAGAATTTTGTGGAATTTAACATTTGAGAAAGTTAATATTTTGTTTTGATCACCTTCAGATAGTCATTTTTCCACTATTATTGTTGTTGTTATTATTATTATTGTTGTTGTTATTATTATTATTATTATTATTATTATATTAATACTACTACTATTAGTTGTAGGATGATGTTTGCACTGCTTTGGGTAAAAACCATTTTCTTACAAAACTGACAAGCAGTCAGCCGCCACAATGGTGTGCGAGGCCTGAAAATAACAGGAAACACTGCCAAAACATCCCACGTAATGCATTTCTGAACTAATGTTTATTTCTAACCATATGAGAAACTTGCTATGGAAGAGATGCTCTATTAATAGAGGTTGAAAACTCGTCATGATAAAATGAAGATTTAAATAAAAAGGCCAGGTCTGGGCGTATGGGTTCCCAGTTACCAGGTGATACGGGCTGTTTGTGTGAAGCTCTCTGCTCCTCCTGTTAGCATGAAAACAGGCTATACCACAGATAATGTGAGTAGGCGAGAGAGACTGCAGAAATCCATCCTGCAGCTTCTTAAACGGTGACATCAGCTTTGGACAAAGATGGAGATGTGTCTTAATGGAAAAGCAGCGCGATGACATTGAAGGGAACTTTCATGTGGTCAGTTGTCATATACATAGAGTGGCCTAGCAATCAATTAAAGTTATACACAGGTGTGTTTCCTCTTGTCATAGTGCTTTAACTTTTTTAATTTTTTTTTTTTTAGTAAATTTAAGGTTTAAAATGTTTAGTTTTTTTAAATTTCATTTTAAAAATCAGTTTTTTTTAGTTTAAACAGAGAAGCATATTGACTACAGCTGTGAAGTCTCATTGATATCCTATTTACTTTAGCTTGTTGTTGGTACGATAGTTGATAGTTTGAGGAAGAAATAGCGATGGCAAAATGAATCTTCTTTGAACCATTTGCTGTATTCTCTAACCCTACTGACTCAAAGAACCCCCCCAAAGCAAAATAAGTACACCATCTTGTGGGGCATAAAAATACAACAAATGGCTCAATGAAGCATAGTTTGGTCATCACTAGGGAAGGTTTGGAGACTTCTACTTAGTTATCACTATGTTTGGTGGAAAACAATATTTTATGAAGGCTCATGTTTGGCTCATTAGTACGGTACAGTAATATGTTTTGAAGAAAAGTACTGCCAGATGTTCTGTTGTACTAAAAGCCAAGAAGTGATGTCCGGAAAGTTCCAAGCACTGATAGGGTGTCGACCTGGGAGGGGTGGAAGCGGGAGGCAAGGTCATGTGATTCCTCAGTTGTGAAGATGCTGGAAGAGCGTGGCGTGTAACGGCCCAGCCGGGGTTAACATTTTATTGTATATGTATTATAATGCTTGTTGAGATCTGTGTGTTGAGATCTGTAGTTGTTTGTGATTATCCATGAATTGGAAGTCCTCATTCAGTCACCAAGCTTGTCTGCATTGTGCTCCAGACTTGCATATAAAACATTTTATGACTGATTGATTATTTGTTGTGAAAATGCTTTACTGTGATTAAGGGCAAAAATCCTCTCCTTTTCTGCAGCGGAGAAGGAAAAAAAAAAAGAATACTTTTATAACATTTTACATGTGGCTGCAGTACGACAATTAATGCTGTAATTTAAGCAGCACTCTTCTTGCACATCGCTGGCACTGGAGCTTGGATGCAGTGTGTAACCTTGCGGGGGGTGGCCTCGGTTGCCTGGTTCTCCTGCCTTCGCCTTGGGGGGGGGGGGGGGGCGCCGGCACCGTGATCCACATGTGTTTTTGGTGGTAAGCATGAGGGGAATGCAAAGAAGTGCCAAAAACAGGTGAAGGGATATCGCTCTGGCCTGTATTTATATGTAAAAGGAACCCGCATGTTGACAAAATGCAGTGTGGCAAACAAAGTTTGGGCAAGGTTCAAGGTCTTTGATTAGAAGAGGCTTGTTTTATTTGTCATAGTATGTGCCTGATTTCTGAGAACACTGATTTCTATCCAAATACTGTAGATGGCCTTAGCTGGAAACTCCAACCCAGGACGTTTCACAGATGGCGATTAGGCCCTTTGCATCATTACTGACAAAAATGTATCTATAACATGTTGTTTCTGAAGCAGCTTCTACTTCAGAACACAGGGCCACCTGGAACGGCCACCAGCTTCTCTAACAAACTGCAGTTCTTCAGTATCTAGCATCACATTAACCCCTACTGTTGAAATCTTGCTCTTCGGAGTTTAACTTACAGAAAAATAATTGATTCAGAGAGATGACCGATCAGATTGTAGAGGTGGTTGGTCCAAGCAACTAGGAGTAGGAACCAACCAATCACATGTCTTGGTCCCGCCTCCTCTAGTTGCTTGGACCCACCACTTCTACAATCTGATCGGTCATCTCTCTGAATCAATTATTTTTCCTTCTGCTCACAGAACAGAATATTTTGAGTAAGAAAAATTCCCAGGAGCAGAAATCTACCAATGCATTTGACTCATCACAGACATTCACTGGATCCTGTCATTGAGGGTTAGTCACTCAGTGAACATGGATGCCTTAGTATGGGTCGGATGAGCCAGTGCTTGGTTTCTGTAAAATATGTGGGGTTTAGGTTGAAACTGAGGACTGACGGTGTGCCGTTCACTGCTTTTCCCACTTTTGGATGATTTGAATGACTTTAGCTTTTATGGAAATAAGACCGTTTGGAAGAAGAGAAAAATCTCTCAAGTATCTTATGGATTAAGCATTTCAGGCAGGAGTAGATAAGTCTGAACAAAATCCAGTCTGTGACCCATTTTCTTTTTTTGAGTGTGAAAACATTGGTTTGCTGCAGTTACATAAATAGAGTTCTGTTTGAATAACTTTGATTTGCAGTGTAGAATCTTGGAAGTGCTACTGACGAGATCAGAGTAGTATTTTGCACTCTCCTTAATGGGAAGGAAGTTAAAGGGATATGTCCCTTGGCAAACTTGTTAAACGGATGCTTTAATGCTTTTTGCAGATTATTATTTCTTTACTGAAAATGAAGACAATCTTGTTTTTATAAGCGTGCCTGGTTTTAATATTTCTGCGAAAGCACAGTATAATGAAAGACGTTAAAGGCGATGCTGAGAGTTTGATTTAGGTGTGCCGCCTGCCCGTTTGTCCGTGAGACGGCATGTGAGGTGGAAGCCTTTGTGTGGTCTTGATTGCCGTCAGCTGGAGCCTCAAGATATTACACAAAAAAAAAAACCCACACACAATCTTACGTGCAAGCTTGAATGTAACTGCTTCCCAAAGAGATGTTCAAATACATAAAGATTAAAAGTAGCACATACCCTGTGCTATGTAAAATTCTGTTGAATAGAGATTTATACGTGTTATAGTGATTGATCTTAATTTAATTGGATTGTGCGCAGTTGTTAATAGCATTTCTTCCAATAAAGGATTCATCACCTGATTTCTGTGCCTGTCGTTCTTGTTTAGGGATGTTGGTCAATGTCACTCTTGTTTCCTTATAAAACACATTCACATCAACACAGCACCCCTAACCCACACTCATTTACTCATGCATTTTCCTGATGCCCCCAAAGTTTGGGGGGCCCAGAATCATTAATTTAAATGGCCTCACTCAAAGCACAGAACGTAACATTCACTAAAAAACGTTTAAGTTCTACTTCTGTCTTTGAAGTTATTATTTAGGCAAAGTTTTCGCGGACTGGCGTTTTGGAATAAGCATTAATAAAAATAAAACAGGCTATCATGCAAATGCATTGTTAAATTAAGCCTGATTAGTCTTGAATTTTAAGGCAGAACAAATGATCACACTTGGCTTTGAATGGGCCAAGACGACGGCTGTTTTCTGCAGCTGAGACAGTGACACGCTGCCCATAAACGCAGAGCAGCGCTCAGGTGATGCTTTACTGCACTGCCTACCCTGACCAGCAGATGCCACTCAAAGCATTTCAACGGAGTCGGAACAGAGACACTTATATGCAGTTGGGTTCTGTTTGTGTTTTGGAAAAGTTCTGTCTCTCTAACTATAACCAGAATGTTGTATCATTTTTTTACTTCATGGAGATGCGCTTTGTGTTCGGTGTCCTTTTCCGCCCTTTTATGAATGATAAAACTATTTTCTTGGGGCTATTAAGGCCTTACGCTTGCGCTGAGGGGAGCTTTTACCGCTGATAAAATTGCTTGGCCGAGATCAAAGCCCCACGCATTCTTGCGGGGGGCGTAGATCTGACGCATCCCAAATGTGGTGCTTACGCGAGACACCCTAGCTGCCTTAAAACCATCCTGTGCCAGGACCCCATGGATACCATTACCAGCACCTCAGTGCCACCTAATTAGTGTGAAAGGGGCAGTGGGGGGATTCCCATTAGACTGACCCAATACTATCCTCTATGCCATAATCAGGCAATGACAATACGCCTGTTTATTTTTACAAACCACCTGTTTTTGATTTCACTGGGTCTGTATGATCATTTTAGCCAATGGAGATATTTTTCCTATAATAAGGTGGTCATGAAAATATTCACATGATATTTTTGTGGTCAAACTTAACAGAATGACCCCTTGTACAGTAAGAACCTTAATGTTGCTCTGGTAAGACTTACACTGTTTAGAATTAAATTATTAATTACATTAAGTACATTGCCCCTAAATAATGCCCAGCTGTGCTCACTTGGGGTATTAAACGCAGGCTGAATGTAAGCCAGTTGGGCTGAAGGCATGGAGGAGAGGGACCAAATGGTTTCCTGCACGCTTGCAGGGATCAATATATTTGTCGCCACTCACCTTGCAGCTTGGGGAGTATTTTTACATGCGGCCTGGTTTCACGGCGGCGATGCAGCCCAGCACGCCTCAGCTGCAGCAGTGCCTCGGTGGGACTCGCCCACCCTCTGCAGTGACGCTGGAGCTCAGAAGGGTCTCCTGCACACTCTGAATTTCTTCGCTACTGGCTTTAAGGGTGAATGGCAGCCTCATTCTAGTGTGATCTATCTACATAAACAGCCTGGATGCCATCCGTCCTACATTTAATGAAAAAATGGTTTAAGAACTTACTGGAGACTTATCTGGGGTTTCACCCTCTGCCGGTTACGCCTCAGTCAAGGAAACTGAAAACCATCAGGGCAGCGGAGCAGTTCCTGATGGGTGCAGGTTCATACAGGATTTAATGAAAAGATCTCAGGCACTATGCACTTAACCCTGGGGTGGGGGGGGCAAGAGAAAAAGGAAGAAGATGCCTGGGTCAAACCTGCATTACTGGCGGACAGGACCCAACGCACTGCTCTCTGCTGGAGTGACATTTCGGCAATTTTCAACCACGCTGTTTTCATTGAGGCTGCAGTAATGGGAAGAGTGGCAGGAAAAAAAAAAGAGAACCTTCCAGAACCCCGGGGGACTTCTGGTACATTTCGTGTCTGCTGCCTTGAATGTGATCAGAGGGCCAATTTCTACAGCCCCAGACTGCGTGAGATGAGCAATCGCCCCTCCGCCAGCCCCGAGAGCACCGCCGAAAGAGCGATGGAATTCAATGTGTTTTTTAATTAAAAAAAACAATCCATTGTGCCCTCACCCCACCTGGCACCAAGGGACCACAGGAAAGCAAAACAACCGGTTATTCACTTAATCCTGCCGATCCAGGATGAGAGCAAAACGCAATGCATCTATGGCTCCAGAACATTCTAATTTTTTTTGAGAGAAATGACCTTGGCACTGGGTGGATTGGGGTACAGCCTCCTGGGTAATCAAGGTGCCCAATCACGTGAGGAATGAAGTTGAATCGCGCATAATAATCCAGCATGGGAAGGATCTGCCTTAGGAGCTACTATCTATTAAGGGTTTCCAAGGCATCTGTTCACTGATAAACTTCTCCTTTCCTGTGTGGTGCCATAACCAGACTGCTGTTAACAAACCCCGATCAATGGACAAGGCCTAGCAGGGACGGGACACCTGTGGATACTCATTGTTTGGCTGGCATCCCTTAAATAAGCCGTTCACCCCTCTGGGGAAGATGGAGTATCGGAAATCTGTGAGTCCAGCCCGGAGTGTTTATCACGCACTTTGCAAAACTCTATTACTGCAGTCCGCCAGCAAACAACAAAGCTGTGAATGATGAACGGGCTTCAGACGCGATCAAAGGCGTAAATACACCACAGTGCTAGAAGGGCTGCTGAGGCTAAATCACCTCTGGAAAAAGTCGCAGGGGTGTGCAGGTGGGGGGAGTCAGACAAATGCTGTGCTAAAATTGTCCACTGGGTGGCGCCATACTCTGTGAAGTACAATATAATTGGCTTTTCATTAGATGTAATTGTACCATTGGTGAAAGCATAATACTCAGCCGGTATATTTTACAGCATACAAAGATGATCAATGCATAGATGTGTAATCAGTTATTTTTTGATGTATGAACAGAAATATTTCTTCATTCTTATGCCAAACAGAAAATATTACTTGAAGAAACCTACAAAAAACAGAATAAAATCACAGGAAAAATACTAAAATTTCTTAAAATGGCAGTAATTAAAAAAAAAAAAAACCCAGTCGCTTACCATGCTGCTCATCCAAGTGAAGTTTTGTGTGCTTCCTTCCTGAAACACCCATTATAAACCTGCATATGAAAGTGTATTCTCTTGGAAAAAATGCTTGAACGTTATGCAAAATACCCAGATATGCAATGCAGGTAACATTATGGCCAACCATCACCACCCTAACATAATTCAACAGAAAGATAAGGCTTATGGTAGCTTTCTTAAACACATTATACAGCACAGTGACTGTGCTTCCATTGTCCCTTTAATCAATCACAAAACGGTAAAACTAATGGTAAAATTAGGCTCTGAACAATAGATACCACATGACAACAAATCTGAGGTAGTATTTAGTAGTAGCATAATTACATGCTCCTCTTCCATTTTTTTGTTGTCAAGGGTGTGGGAAACCTTACAAATGGGTGGTTCATGTGGAAAACCATGAGGTCACCCTTCTTATCTTATGAAAAGTAAAATCACAAGATATGGCAGAGTAACACAGCAAATTATGTACTTTCTGAAAGTCCACCAGAATACTTCATGGGAAAACATCCCTTACGTGGCCAAAGCCTTAGCAGTAAAATGTGATTTACACGCCTCAGATGGTCTGCAACAGAAGCATCCGAACACCTCCCCAGTTCATATGTTCATCGTGTGCCTTCAGGCTCACACTGAAGGTCATGCAGGAAACAATTTATCCAGCTGCTGACAAATCGCATTGTACTTATATCGATAGCGGACACCATATGATGTAATTAGATAGGACAACTGTCAATGAATGATCAAAATAAGACAAAAACAAACCCAATGCAGGATTTCTGCCAGGAAAATCTGGTTTCTCCCTTCATCCGCTATCTTATGATGATAACTGTCAACGCTATGGCAACCAAATCTAAAACGATGTTCAGCCATCTGGGTGCGAAAAAATGATCTGAACAAGAATTGGTCAGAGCAATACTGTTTGTATATTCGTTTACTAGGCTATGTTAATTTTGAAGAATCAAGTATCTCGTTACTGAAGAACAATTACACACCCTTGGCACACACACACGTGATTTGTGGGGGCGGATCGCCCACCCACCAAAGGAGGATCGCTCACCCACCAAAGGAGGATCGCTCACCCACCAAAGGAGGATCGCTCACCCACCAAAACATTTCCACCCATGAGAAAGATGTGGCTTTTCAGCTCTTCAAACTTAGTTTCAGCAGGTTCTTCTCGAAGTGGGGGATGGAGCCAGAAGACACCAACGCAGAATCAGATGTTTCATTGTTGCAATGTGGAGTTTATGAGCCTAATGCTGGTATTACAAATCACTTTCTCCTTCATTTTAGGGAATGGTTTTGTGAAAATTCTACAGACAACTTCCCATAAATTACATCTGAAACAATATTATACAGCCATTTCATAAATCTACATTACAATCTATTAAAATGAATTATGATAGCATATATATTTTGTTTGGTGTCCATCTGACCGTTGCAATATAAAACCAGTTATGAAGCAAAATGTTCTGTAATGTACAGTGAAGGCAGTTCCGACAGTATACAAATACAAAAGCTTATGGGCACACATTCATACACATTTAAAAGTTTAACAGAATGTTTTTAAATGCATTTGAATATTTTAGATTATTCTTAAAATATATCCAATTTATCATTAATGGCCTGCACAGTGATAAGATATAGTTGCATAAAACTCATCGTGTGTGTGTGTATATATATATATTTATAGCTGCATCATCTTACTGGATCATTTCTTCCCTTAAGCACTTTCGCTTTGCTCAGTTAGTCAAAATCATTAATACAGCACTGTTCATGTTTGTTTTAATGCACTTTGCATATAACAACATTTAATGTAATGGAGAAAAGGTACTTCATCATTTTAAGTTGTCCACGGAGTCTTAAGCTAAATTAAATAATATAAGATGGATAATAGTAAATAATTTTTTTCCTGTTAGTATTTCTCCCGTGCTTTACTATTCTATGAGAATACTACATAATACTAATTTCCAAATAAGCAATCGCCCACTGACAGAGTCAGTTTAAAGTCTGATTTCGTCACCATGTCCGTGGTCAGCTGATCATGTGGCAGCGATGTCCTCCAAAACAGGCTCAGCATCGCCCCCTACAGGCAGGGAGGGTTTCGGGTACATTCCTCACCGTCGGCTCCGCCAGAGCTCACCTCAACAGCAGCATTCGGTTGCGGTTTTCGTCAGATGCCATTTATCGGCGAGCTGACATCTGCACACTTAAGTGTGTGCCAAAAACGGTAGCTAATGAGAACGACTCACCAAGTCGTCCAATCAGGTGAGCAGAATCTGCAGAAATTCACACATTGCGTAAAACAAGCCAGATTGTGCATTTTCCTCATTATGTTGCTACACAAAGATGCATGTTAATGAAAATATGCAGATTGGGCAGCGGAGTTCAGCCTGTGTTTTTCATCAGAACAGCTATCTTGAAATCAAAGCTTGAGAATTAATTTAGCTTCTTTAAATCTCCAAGTCATATAACAGCAATAAACAGCCAAAGACCATTCTGACGAAAGCTACCTCATAGTGGTTTTGTTTAGAGGACCAGAAAATTATTTCATAAAAATAAGCTTATATATCATTTTAAAATTTAAGGGTTATAGGGTAGTAAAAATGATAAAGGATTTGGTGTGTGTCATTGCACTTAGTGTTAGATGTGATGATCTCTTCTGTAACCACACCCGGTGATTAGTGATTTCCTGCTCAGTCACTGGATGGCGAGCTGGATGCCATCAGGATGAAGACACAAACAGAGGCCACAGCGTAGCAGCTCGGGCCGGTTACTCGAATGAGAGAAGGTCCGGGTGGGGCTCCTCACCCTCTACGCTTGCGGATCTCTGCCTGGCCACACCGGAACCCACCAGACAGTCCTCCAGAGCATCGCCCAGGCTGATACGGCAGCCTGGCTTTCCTGGGCGAGGGGTGGACGCCATTCTGCTCTCCAGACCTTCAGGCTTGTGAAGAGGTTCCAGGTTGTCCTTGTGGATGAGGTCAGGAACGGAGAGCTGGAGATGGGACGGCTCGTCGGTTCTGTCCTCCACCGTTCCATCTAGGCCTGAGGTGACGGAACCTGCAGGCCGCGCTTCTTCAGCTTTGACCCCAAAGCCCACAGATTCGTACAACTCCAGGCCTCCCCCTGGCTCCCTCTCCTCCCCTTTCATTTGGACCTCAGACTTATCATCCTCCTGGATGAGAGGCGTTTCCTCCGGGGGGGAGACGGAGGAGGAGTCGCAGGCCTCCACAACAGCCACCACGGGGTCAGAGGAGATCATCATGTCCTGGGTGCTCTTCAGAGCACGAGGAAGACGCTTTTTAACATTGGGGGGAGGGGGGTCCAGGCGTGGAATGCAATCCTGACTGAGGTGACCATTAAAAAAAAGGAGATTAAAGTCAAAACTCATTTTTATTAATGAAAATTCTTAAAATTAACACAACGATTATTTCTTAATAATAATATTTTTACTTATAACACCTACCAAGCAATAGCAATAGCATGCAGTATTGTCAACAATATTAATAGACTATATTATCACCATTAAACATTCTGCTACATGAACAGTAACATGTAACAGATATGTGCACAGTAACTACAGAGACCACAAAGATTTCTCCTTACTTGTGCCTTTTCCCTTCTATTTAATATCGTTAAAATAATGAAAAGGTGAACTTGATTGGCTGGATGTATTAAGGACTGAGAATAATTCCAGCTTAGCTATTAGCTCTTAGCTGCTCATGCCTCAAGGCCGCATAAAGGACTGGTGTGAAACTTATTCACAAAAAGTTGGAAGAGTAAGAAACCAAAGGACCCAGGATCTCTGCTCATTAACCTACTTCTATATGCATATTTAATGAGGATGCCGATGTCACGAAACTCCCAGAATCACTGTGCTGCTGAGACTTTAGCCTGATAGAAGGTGCTGTTTGTATACCGGTGACCCTTGTCAGATGTTGCTTTGAATGCAATGTGTTTAAAAAAGAAAACAACCCAGGCAAGAGAACACAAAGGACATCTGTCTTCATTTTCGTGCTGCACGAGGCCTTACATCAGGCCCCAATAAATGCTACTGCATTTCTGCACAGGCAAGCACATAAGACGCCTCATAAACAATGATTCATAGCGTTCGATGTAATACAATGTTCTTCCTCAGAATTAAGACTGACTGATTAATTCACCTGGCTTAAGAAATGCAAAAGCCTCATGCAGCATGATTACTGCCGCAGTAGAAATCTACTCGCATTGTAATCTGAAGATTGCAAGTTTCTGGAGGCAAAGTACCTTTTTGTAGATCAATTGGGAAAGAAGGCATTTAACACAGAAATTGTTCCAGTAAAGTATTCACCTAAAGTTTTTAAAAGTGCCCTTTCAGTTAATGGCATCACTCAGAAATAATTGCGTCTCTGCCTCACAAACAGGCCTTTTATCCCCTTGAGTACGAATAAAGTTTTGCGATTCTGAATTACCTGCTAGCCGCAATGCCCACGCCGCCACTGTCCTCGGAAGACCATACTGCGCCAATGTTCCTGTTGACCTCCGTTACCCCGATGTCCCCGACGCTGCTAGCATCCTTCCGCCGGAGGAGGTCGTTCACCTTGGCCCCCACGGCCTTGCCCAGATTGAGAGCGTTCTTCAGGTGTTGGCTGCCCCCCAGCTTCGCCGGTCCAGAGCCGGAGATGTCAACGGACCCCCCCAAGGTGGACGCGGGAGGCGCCGAGCGCCGGCTCAGTGAAGCGGCCGACTTGAAGTTGGGGAACGCCGGCTGGCGGCCCGTGTTGGAATTCTCAAACATGCTTTGGTCGACTGCAAACATCAGAGACATACCGGCGTGAGATGCTGAGTCCTGGATGTAGTCAGGAAGAGATCAGTGCAAGACAAACACGGTACACTCATGTACTCACAATACTACTGCGATATCAAATTGAGAACACATGGAAATCATGGACTGTGGAACTTTAGGAGCATCCAGGGCTGACCCTGGATGTTCTGCCACACTAGGCAAGATTGCTTTTGAAAAACTCAGATAAACACAAACAGACAAGTGCCCATGGCTTCATGCCCCACCCAACGGTTCAGACGCGTTCCGCTGTCCATGATGGAAATTAAATGCTTTCAGCATTCAGGATGATGTTTTACAACTGAAAACAGCAGCAGGCAATATGAGGGGAGCATCAAACAAGACGAGAAGCTGCACAGAAACACGAGTGCGGAGGAAGGCAAGCAAATCGCAGATCCTGTAATCAGACACGGTCGGTAAGATGGCCTTACCTTATGGAGACAAATGTTTCTCGGCAAGCATTTAGACAAGACACGGAAAAGCAGTTTTAAGTGTAAATGAGATTATTTAAAAACAGATGACTGGATTCATATTTATGAGAGTGTCAGCTCAAATGGACTCAGTACATCCTGCCTAATTAGGACATTTGGGGACACTTTCAAAGGGGTGATCTCCAGAGCGTTCATTAGTCTCAGAGCTCCTTACGGCATCGGCAAACTCAATATAAATGTGTTACTTGTTTTTCAATTAATAGTAAAAAATATAAATTTGCATTTAATTACAGATAAAAAATATTGAAGCAATATTTGATGTTTTGGTGTTGTTTACATAGTTGGGTTTCTCCGTCAGTTACACCCACAACCATAGTGCAAAATTACATAGTGTTCCCTTTAATCGTCATCATCAATAACCATTTACCGTAGAAACTAGCTACAGTAGGCTATAACATAAGCAGATACTGAAACACTCGTTCCTAAAGGTGAACTCAGCAATTTGTCAATTCAGTACAAAAGGCATTATTTATCAGTGGATAATTCAGTATTACCAAAAATATTAGTCACATCTTATGAATATTCTTAGAACGATCTAATACAACCTCGCTAAAAATCAGTCCATAAAATTCTTAAAGAAAAAAAAAAAAACATAATTGTTGAATTTATATATAGGCCTATGACATTACAATAGGTGAATCTCAATTTAATGTGACCATGCACAGTGCTTCAAAATATTTGGCAGGACAGTCATTAGTTTACGAACGAACATTTTGTTTTCCCGTAAAATTTCGGAAATGGTGCCGAAAAATTATAATTTAAATGTTAAGCTGCGGACTTTGGAAATCCCAGCGCATTGTGCATTACATCGAAACAGTTACTTGACGTTTATTTAGCAAAATGAGGGCAATTTCTACTGGGTCGAAAATAACAGATTGCTGCGACATTTCAGAAATCGGGTGGGAGGCACCAGTGACAGGTGCGTTTTAAGAAGGATACCCATCGATCACAGGACCTGGGACCTCACAGTAATGAAAACCGCCTTCTGTCTCTCTATTTGCCGATTTTCAGATATGCACCCTGCATTTTTAAATATTTTTAATGTTTTAGAGAATAATGGTGTTTAAAGGCTTAATTAAAGTAGCGTCATGTATGCAGCACATCGGGCATCGTTTCACGGTAATTAAACCAGCACGTCGCCAGCTCCTCACGGCAATCGAACGCGCGAACGGCACGCCAAGGACCAAAGCGTGGCGTTGCAGCTCGGACGCAGACATGCGTGAACATTGGGAAAATGACTCCTATACACTGCAATCCCTTCACTTAAGGAAAAAATCACATTATCCGCCACAGCATAAAATGCCTACCGCACAACACGATCCACGCTTATCCAGATTTACAAGTTTTTAACTGTATATTTTCCTCAAATATACCATAGCGGGAACCTTGGGGGGCCCTCGGTGTGTAACTACTATGCTGGCTCCTTCATTTTTGCTTCTGTTATGGGGAGTGCCTTTTCACAGCAAATTTGTTACAGAACTCAACCAGAAAATTGAAAACGACGATAAAATATTTGGCAAAAGCAACGTTAGTGACAGCATAGTGAGTTAAGTGCCCTTACACTCTCGGGGGGAAAAAAACCAATTTACAGTAAACGATGGAAAACTTCATGCAAAGTTTTTGTCGGCCAAATGTGCAAATACAGTATGTAAAACTTTTTAGGTTACAACACACTTGTTACTCTGCCTTCCAGAACACAGGAGTTTCCATTCATTATATCAATGTATTACCTGTATTTGAGGATGTGAATTCAAAACTACCTTTGGTTGTTGATAACACTATAGCCTACATAACATATCCAACCATTCATCCATCCAACCATCTATTCTAATATCCAACCTCTGATTGCTTATCCTTCAGTGTTATAAACATAAAAAAATAAAACATTTTTTAATTCAAAGGCAACTAAATGACTTCAGTAATATACTGAAGAAAAACCCCAGCAAATGGTATTTCTAAGTAAATGTGTCCATTATGGTCCTAGGATTTGCCAGAGAAATGGGATCACGCACAAAAACACAAAGTAACACAGAGAGGCAACCTGACAAATGATCTTATGGAGGCAGAGTGTCCTGCCATTGACAACGTCCTTCATCTTGAGGTACATCTCCTCAGACAACAAAGTGGCACAGACATACTATATTACTGCTTAGGTATAACTGTAAAATATACACAGAACTGTGCTGGAAAAATTAATTTGTGTAAAAGTTTAATGGCCCCTTGAAGGCAAATTGTATGGTAATTTAGTGCTTTTAATTAAAAAATAAACGCCACTCCCAAAATTCAGCAAATTCTCATTCCATGGATAATAACAGAATTTTTACTCATTATGTGGTTAATTAACCAACTGGCTAGTTTAAATCAGCTAATTAATAGGAACCTATCTATTAGTCCAGAGAAGGGGGGATGACTTTACAAACTGGAAAATCAAAATATGAACCAACATCCGTTTCATTTCTTAATGATCTCAATACTACTGGCTTGATGCTGGCAGTCAAACTAGCTAGGAACCTGTGAACGGCATCACAAGCACAACCTGTGAACGGCATCACAAGCACAACCTGTGAACGGCATCACAAGCACAACNAACCTGTGAACGGCATCACAAGCACAACCTGTGAACGGCATCACAAGCACAACCTGTGAACGGCATCACAAGCACAACATGTCAATCCTGAGACAAGGGAGGTACAATTTTTAAGAAACAAATCGAACAGAAAAACAACTGTCACTTCAACTTTACAAATGAAATCTGCCTCCGTTTTGACTGGATGCCATTTCACAGTAATGTTTTTCCACAATGACTGTCTATTGATATAGTTTCACTAAAAACTGGTATTCCCAGAGATTTTAGATCTAAGATCAACTCTTTCTGTAAAAGTATTCAGAAAGTAAATGATGCATGAACTGCAGTGTCTACTTGAAAAAATTCTAACGAGGTCTTCAGTAATACTTTAGGAAAGCTGTCCTTTACAATTCAAGAAAAAGGCCCCAGTCCGATCATCGCTCCCTTTCAGCTATTCACCCTTTGTTGGCCCCTAGAACAGATATGGGGGTAATATTTAAAATTGTACGCGAGTAATTACCAAGGAGCTTCCAACAGATTTTCCTTCTTGTCAGAACAAGATCAGAAAGTTATTTCTGACTGCTTTATATGCAGCCACGACCGTTTCTTCCCCAAAAGGTACAATCCTTAGCCACCTCCATACACTACAGTGTGCTGAATGTGGCACAGACTCCAATCGCAGCACGACACCTAGACAAATAAATGTTATGCTCATTGCATGTCATCTCTGAAGGCAAGACCATCTACATTCTGAATCTGAATTCCACATTTGATTCACTTAACATAAAGCTTTTATATGACATTTTTAACATAAGATTTAATTTCATTTTCCTTTCATTTCGGATGTTCCAACTAAATACAGCTGTTGTGTTCTCTCTCTTCTTTTCCCACTTGTTTTCTAATAAAAGTGTTCATTTAAAAAAAAAAGTGGAGTATCACTGTGAAATGTGAAATATCAAAAACAATCCCCTTTGAACATACTACAGCACTTTCAAGAGGATAATTACTGGGGGAGCCATGGCCAGGAGTCATAAAATGAAGACATAACAGAAGGAAATCGAGGGGGATAGATTCAGTAATTGTACTTCTAAGTTTCCTTATTATCACTACACAGATATTCCAACAAAAACTTAACGACTCCCTGGTCTTTTATGTGCCCCCCCGCCACCCCCCCTGGGGTGTTCCATAGATGAAACAACTTTCAGATTCTACTAGGCCAGTTGTGCTTCAGATAAATGCAAACACATAATGAATACAGCAGAAGGACGACTGCCTGATGTTATAGCTAATCTTCCATTCTCCACCAACGCCTGGCTTAACTGGAGAGAGACATCAGAGATACACAAGCTGCCGTGAGTCAAGATAATAAAGAGCAAAGAGATCGATGATATCTTACAAGAAACCGAACTCTCCTTATTTCATTGGTCTTATTTCACTAAGCAGTAACCAGTCTCGCGCCTCTGAATGGCAACAGACACAGTAGAGCAGTGCAGTCCTTCGCATAAATCAGCGGGCGTCACCTAAGTGAGACGACCTCAAGGCTAAAAGGATCGATACGGTTCTGTTTTCCCTGGAGGAAAATGCCTGCACGATTTAGAAAACTTGGATGCGGAGCTTTCACAAGAGCGATCACCTTGCACAACCTCACGTACAGACTCCGTTTATGACCTTCTCAAATTCACAGCCCCCTACAGGTCAAGGAGAGAAAGGACCATGAAGGACCCTTTATTATTCCCACCTGAAAGCAGGGGAATTGTTGACAAACAAATCGATAAAAGTGACAAGCCAATAGGAGGGGGGTCAAACTGCGTGAAACGAATCTTGTTTTGTTCAACGTACACTATGCATTTTCTATCAGGAGCCTTGACATAATGGGTAATTGTTTTTGCCAAGTGCAATGATTAAATCTGGGGAATGATATTTAATTGGTGTCTGACCTTCAAATAAATGGCAATTCACATGCATCAAATACCACAGGATAAGGGTAACTTTAAACAAAGCTTCAGAAGATCTGGCTGCTTTCAAGGGCTAATTTAGCAATTCGGATACTGGTCTACATATTAGTATTCACCTAGCAGAGAACTCTGGCAGGCAGCGATTGTAGCCAGTAGATAAGAATCAGTATTCATAAGATTAAAATTACGATCAGATGCAAACTCTGAAGGGGACAGCGACACGTGACGATCAGGGATCGTTACATTGCACTTGCAGGACATATTTCATGCATTTCTCACTGTATAATCACAGCACACTCCTTACTGAGGGATACATTGTGCAAAGCCTTTTTGAAGACTGGTAACTGAGACTGACCTGCAGTAGTCTGACCACAAGCTGTGAATGACACACATGCCATAATAAAGATATTTTCAGGTCTAGTGAGTATATCTGCATTCATTTAACTTTGGAAAAATAAAAAATGGTATTTAAATAATTTCTATACAATTTTTATTGGATACATTTTCAACGGTTATGTTTGAGGACCATCTTGACACACAGGTGCTGAATACACGTCTCAAAAAAAAAAACGATGGAAAATCTTCATATGATTGTCGATGGTCTGAACTATAAAAAAATATTAGGCATGCTTCCCCGATCATGCTTCTGCATCCTAGTACACAGGTTCAGCAGTGATAATGAAGCTAACACGTTTCACACTGAGAAGACCAACAGGGGAACATCTCCTTAGTCCACCCCAAACCAAAACCCTGGTTGCAATTCCATAATATCCGAACAGGATACCGGTCAAAAGCAGAGCAGTGAGCAGGAACAACTGAATGTCATGGGATTATTGGGGCGAAGGGGAGGTTTAGCATAAAACTAAGGCAAGAAAATGAGCGAAGATTCTTCATTTCATGAAAGGTCGTGCTCCCTCTTTTACTCTGGCCCTATTGAGACTGAATGATGGACAGACACGGTGAACAAGGTCTGCATCAAGTGGAGAATTTGACATTACTGCAGTTCACAGAGTCCAGTGAGTGCGACGGTCATTCTCAGATTCAGCGTTCGTTCGCTAAGCTCCACTGAGACGTCATTGGCGCTGAAATGTGCTCGGCAACATTGAGATTTATTTACCTTTACAACAAATTTGCCTTTGATTTAGAAATAAGAAGTTATGGCTGTAACAAATGACACCAGAATGGGGAACTTCATCTGACCATAAACGTAAGCAGGACTTGGGATGCCACATACATGCGCACTAGCCAAGATGAAACGACAAACTCCTGTTGGGGAGCAGCAAATTGACAGGCAGTATTTAGAGACACTAGGTTGGTCTGTGTGAAGGTTTTTGGGCATCTGTCAGTGTACGCAATGTTTTTAAAAGAAATCTTTTAGCTTTGAGAACCGGGCAGGAAGAGAAGCAACAGATAGAGGACTTCACAAGCGCTTTGAGTGCCAGGACAAGGAGCAGTACTGTGGTTAGGGGGGCAGGGCTACACGGCGATCTCGTCCTCCAGGCAGTCAGACGACGCCCGCTTGTCCAGCACGTTGAACAGCCGCAGCGAGTTGTCATCCTGTCCCCAGCTGTCCCGGTCGTCGCTCTCGTCCGTGTTGGACTCGTACTCCGAGGCGATGCCCGATTCGCGGAATTTCAGGAATTCCAGGCTGCCGAGCAACTGGTCCCGTGGGGCCGTGGAGGGGGATTGGCCCGGCCCCCGGTCCTGCTGGGGGGGTCCCGGAAGGAAGCGGAAACACTCGAACTTTACCAGGCAGCTGTCCGTACCTAGGGGGCTGCCCAGAGGCAGGGCCAGGTGAGTCCCGTCATTAAACTGCGGCAGGGACACCTCCTCAGGTTTGGGCGTCGACGGGTCACACAGGACTGGGGGCACGTTGGCACGGAAGGTGATCTCCAGCAGGCTGTCCTGTGAGCCCACTGAGGAGCATCGGGGGGAGACACAAGGCACTGAATCTTCCAGAATCACCATGAAATAAATGCTTACAGCGTCAACATTACCCTACAGAAAGACAGGCTAAGTCACGATCCTCCAGACAAACACATATCTCAAGCAGCAAAGACTGCCCAGAGTTCCCAGCAAACTGATCTTCAGAGTTCAGCTGAATTCAGCCAAAAGCTGCCTTGACCTGGTTTGTTGCAGCTTTAGAATCTGTCAAACTCAGATGCCAAGCATTAACTTCATGTTGATGAAGGAGCGGGACAGAAATATCCATCTACCCACGTTGCCCCCCACACCTCCATCACGTATCCACCTACATCAGTAGTTCTCAATCCTGTTCCTGTCACCCCCACCTGCCAGCAGGTTTTCATTCCAACCTTAATCAGGCTCAGATGGTCTTTAACAGGCTAATAATGAATGCAGCAGGTTGAAAGCAGTGTAGGTTGTAATGAAAACATTCTGGTAGGGGCGGTACCAGGAACAGGATTGAGAACTTGTGACCTAAGCTCATGCATCCACCCTTGGCTCCACCCACGCCTCTGATACCTGCACATTTCCTTGACTCGAGAGCAGAGTCCATCAGGAATAAAATGCCCCCAATAAACACACGCCCCAGCAAAGGCCCACAGCACAGCAAAGCGGCCGCTTACTGGAGTTGTGTCCGGAGAGCTTGATCTCCAGCTCCTGGATCTGCTTCACCAGCAGTGAGATGTGCTGCAGCAGGTCCTTGTTCTGCAGCAACAGCTGGTGGACACGGGCCTGGGCCTCGATCCGGGCTGCTGCCTCTGCAGACAGTTGGTCCTTCAGGAGGTGAACCTGTTTAAAACACACATGTGTAAAAACATACATGCAAACATATCAATTAACAGTAATAGCTTTTTTTTTTTTATAACTTTATTTTTTATTAATACTTTCTCCTTTAATACAAAAGCAATCAAACCCCTGAACAGAACCAATATAAACAATAATGTTTGGGAATTACAATTCAAATAGTTCGTATATTGTCCATCCCGTTCATGTATTCAACTGTCCTTTCTGTCATCTTTGTTGCTGTTTTGTGTCTTGAATAGTATCCATTTCTACCACTTGTCGTCCATCTGAGTTTCTTGTAGTCTTAACTGATGAGTCAGTTTCTCCATTATATAAATCTTCTCTATTATTCCTATCCATTGCTCCTCTGTTGGGGAGTCCACTCTATCCCACTTCACTGTAATGGCTTTCTTACAGGCTATTAACAGTATTCTGATAATATAACTATCTCTTGCTTGTATTCTGCCTTCTGATACATTCATAGCTTTTAAATTCAAAGAAAACCAGGATTAACCCACAGCACAATTAACAACAAGGTAAATTTTCCACAAGATGTATTCTGCAATGAATTCTTCTAAATCACTCTTAAATGACTTGAGCTATGCTTGCACAACTTATAACTCTGCACTAAATTTCTTAAAGCTGTGCTGAGACCTGCAGAAAGACAGTAAACTAAACATTAACGAGGCCTTAGCGAGCTGGGTCCCTTATGCAATAAGCCACTTAAACCTAAATGACTAGTGTATTAAACCCTTAAATCTGTAAAAAGGAGCCCAATTACTCTGAGATAAACCCAAGTTAAACTATGCAAATTTAAAATGATTTCTTCAGGTAAAATATAAATATATGATAGCTTCTGGATTCAGATAAACAGAAATTGTGAGCCCCTATCGGCTCTCGAGTTTCCAGATTAAAAATGAAATATCTTTGCACCCAGTTACTGAACACTATGCGGGGGGGGGGGGGGGGGGCACCTAGGCTGGTTGGGAAATAAGTGACAGCTCAATGATCAAAGCACATGGTATACAGACGATACCAGAGCACAGGGTAAAGCAGGTCAGCTGAGGAACACCAAAATAATTGCTTGGGCATTGGGCACTGGAGGCCAGTTTCAATAAAAATCAGATTGGTCATTCAGAACCACAGCAGCAGAACCCAACACAAAGAAATTAAATGGAGTTGGGCCTACGATGATGCAAACAGACAAGCCACTGGAATCAGTAACCCAGAATGTCAACCCGGCGGATGGCTTGAAAGGGTCGGCTGCATCAAGATGAGGTCTGAGAATCTACTTTCAGTGTTTACGTTAGGATTCATTGCAGCAGAACTTTCATCTTTTTCATTCATTTTGCTATGAGTTCTGGTGTTCCTTTCTGGTTCGGGAGAAACACTACAGAAATGAAAATGCAAATGAATCTTTATTTTCCATTTGTTCAGGTATGTTGGAATGTTTTTGTTTCTTTTTTTGCATATCCCATCTCGCTCTCCTTTATACAGAGGTGAGTTTGAAGCTTTGAGTCCAAGCGTGTGGTCAGCTGTCCATCCAGCGCCCCCTAGAGCATTTTTTGGGGGGTTAACGGCCTTGCTCAAGGTTCCAACAGAGATGTGGGTACTCTGCCAAAAACAGGATATGAACCGGCAACCTTTCGATAACAAGTATGAAGGCCTAGCCCACACATCGCCCACCAATGCTGACATGGATAATGTAAATAAACAAACGAGACATTTTGGTTGCAGTTTGACTAGACGGTTCATTCATAGTTCATTTTCTGGTATAAATCTTAAAACAGGCTTCCTTTTTCCAACTATTCATTTTTGGGAGTAAAAAACAGTAATAGATTCTCCACCTGCCGGTAAAGCATGCATTAAATTAATTATATTGGAAAGGTCATTCTTTATCCTCCAGGAGGGCCGCAAAGCATTTTGAATTCAATAGCAAAAAAAAATCCCAGAAAGTGAACGTTACAGGCAGCCAGACTCTACAAATCACAATTTATCAGCACTCTGCATCCAAACAGCGCTGACATTTTGGACGTGCTTCACCAGGGAATTAACCAGCTGTCCTGTCTGGCTGCAACGCATCTGACCCTTTGTGATCTCTCTCTCTCTCTCTCACACACACACACAGGTTTGTAGTTATATCTTTGTGGGGACTCTCCATTCATGTCTTTGGGGAAAGCTCAACATGATGACCGTAACCCCTACCCAGCCCTAACTGTAACCATAAGTAACCAAACAAAATATGAGACTTTTGGCATTTTTAGTTTTTTTTGATTGCATTCACAGATCTGTGTGGGAACCTGAAAAATGGTCCCCACAACGTTAACATAACAGGATTTTATCACATTGTGGGGGACATTTGGTTCCCACAATGCAATATAAACCTAATCCACACACACACACACACACACACACACACCCCCCCCCCCCCCCCCCCCCCCCCCCCCCCCCCATGTGGTCATACTCCACCTTTCACACTGAATAATGGCCTATGTCAATATTGCAGCCAGAGAGAAATGGGCCAGAAGTCGCCTTCATTCTTTCTATGAAATACATTTGCTGAGATTTTTTTTAAAAACCAGGAGATCTTGACCTTTTCAATCGCCAGCAGCCATTTGAACCCTTTTAACTTGCCATATTTTCATCAGTAACCTCAGGCAGGTTACAGAAAGATTGTCATTAAAGCTCAACAATAATCAACTTCTAATCATGCAACATGCAGAATACAATTGTTAAATATAACACTAACTGTTGATCACAATTCTTTTAAATCAGCAAAAACAAAACATTTAAAATTCGTAATATACATTTACTTAGCTCTGTCATTTGATCACATGTTGAGACTATAATACGAACGTTTACATTCACATAGCTATGCTCTTTATAATTTAGACTTTTTTTTGTTATTTTGTTTATCTGAGGGTGGAACGATAAAAGAATAACAAAGATGCTGTACGGAGCTTTAATAATGTAACTTCAAAAGCTGGCTTTCCTTTCAAGGTCTTCCCAGCATCCCCCACTGCACATCAAAACACAATCAGACACAGAGCTGCCCTGGGCCTACAGCGCGGCGAGAGCATGGTGTTTTGACAAAGAAGTCTCTATCTGCGGCTTCCTTATAAGAATTCCCCTAACCCTCTATCCACAGTGCCGCCACAAATCAAACAGAGTACGCCGGATCACCTTCGGGCCAGCTCTGATAGAGAGACGAACGCACGCTGGGGAATGTCAGGAGGAGAGAAGGTGCTTCACAATGGAACGGAACACTCGGGAGTTCCGGAACGTCGGCCATCTGCCCGAGGATATTGGGAAAGCGATTAAGGAAAAAGTGGGGAAGGGGTTTCCATATTCATAAGACGCCTATAGGCACTGCTGAGCTTCGCAGCAAGGAAAAGCTGGCATGGGTGGACGGCCAGGCAGGGACCTGGGCAGGCAGCCACCGCTGTACCCGCGCCGTACTGGCTTCTGTAAAGAAGCCCACGTCGTCCTGGCACCTCCGCCCGCAACACGACAGCGGCTGGCGGGCAGAAAGCAGCCAGACGTGTGTCCGGCTATCAATCATCAGCACTTTCTGTTAGTCCCGGGCATGGCGTGACAGGCCATCTGTCAAGCTGAGGCTTCCGCCAAATGTTACGTCTTGCATAATCAGAGACCCGCCGTGTGTACATTCCAAAAGACGTTCCGTCCATCCGTCTATCCACCGTCCAATCGCTTATCTTGGACAGGATTATGGGGGAGGCCTGGAGCGTATCCCAGATAACAGAGGGCAAGTGGGCACCCTGGACGAGATGCCGATCCATCACAGGGCACACACACGCTATGCGCAATTTAGACACAAACTTAGCACACTGTACATGTTTGGATTGCAGGCAGAAACCGGAGAACCCTGAGCGGAGGTGGGAGTGAAACACCCCAGGACTGTAGGTGTGAAACAACAGTGCTGCTCACTGAGCCACTGTCCCGCCCTTCTGATACACATACCAGCAGCTTTCTGCACGGTACCAGCTGGGTCATTATCAACATAACCGGCCTTCCTCTCATACCTGCAGCTTAAATCCCTCCCCTCCCCGGCTCCTCACCTGGGCCACGGCCACCTGCGTCTGCTGCTGCTGCTGCTGGAGCTGCTGCTGGAGTAGCTGGAGCTGGTGGTGCTGGGACAGGGGGGCGCCAGCGGGCACCAGTCCCGACGATGGCAGCAGCATCCTGGGGGTGGCCAGCAGGATGCTGACGTCCTCCAGAACCTGAGGAGACCAGGGGAGGACACAAGGGTGAGTGAAACGCCAATCAAAGGTAAACTTCCCATAAGTACAGCATGAGTTTGGAAAATTTGTTGTTGTTATGTAATCTAATTAAGCACATTACTGTGCAACCAAGAATTTCTCTATCCATCTACTCATCCACTCATCCATCCATCCATCCATCCATCAACCACTTCTGCGGGTGGGGCCTGCAGTGGCAGCATGCCTTTCAGGTTACACCAGACCTTCTGTGGGGATTCCCAGTTCTCCCTACTTTTGTAGCTGGTAGATACAGTACAACAACAACAAAAAGAAGATCAGATGTGGTACAGATTCCAGGACTGGGAAATTAAATGTGAAAGATGAATATTGCAGCTTCGACCTAAAAATAGAGTCAAAGACGGCGGAGGCTAATACAGGCTCATTAATTACCGCTGCCTAATGGCCACTAGGGTTACGCAGCAAACGTTTAACAGTCTGACGAGCGGTGACACTTTCTGGCAGAGATAAATGTCCGAGACTCCCTGCCGTGGCCGGATTCTTCATCTCCCAAAGCTGAGCTGAAAATACGGAAATGTCACCAGCCAGATACCGACTTCACAGAAACACTGTGTGGGTAATACATGAAGGTTGCTTTCTGTCATGACAATTTATTCCAGATGCAGCTGTATGAATGCTAAGAACATCTGGTCCCCAGACTCTCTCTCCACCTTCAAGACCCCTCTGTTCCAGGAGCACCTCCACTAGCCTACAGCGCTCCATACGCACTGAATGCTCTGTGGTACACTATCACTTGTCGCTTTGGACAACAGAATCTGCTAAAAGACATAAACGAAAAGCATCAAAAACATCAGGAGGCCAAAAGAACAAGATAGACCTTTAATCCTGTAGTCCTTTCCTAACATTCTCTTACCTGCCCAAAACCTGTGCTGAATCAACACACATCTGGATTTTCCAGCCCTAGAAGACACCCACCATTACACTGGTTTGTGGCACCATCACTGCACCAACCAAGACCACTGCACCATCTACATCACTGCACCAACCAAGACCACTGCACCATCTACATTACTGCACCAACCAAGACCACTGCACCATCTACATCACTGCACCAACCAAGACCACTGCTCTGCATGTTCCTGCTCTGTGTCCTTGGCATTACTTACTGTGACACAAAGAGCAAAGGGGAGAAAAACAATACCTTGCTAATTAATGATGCAGACACAGTTAAAAAAATGAAAACAAATTAAAATAAATCCCACTGCATATATTACAGTCGATCTCAAACAAACAAGGTATCAGAAGCTTAATGACATGCACGAAGTTCACCTTGGATGGCTCTCTCTCCAATTTATCCCAAATCAAGACAAGATATGGATTTTCACATCACTTTTATTCAAATCTGCACGTTGGAATAGAACAAGTAGCGCCTCCGAGTTGAATGCTAATGCGACTTGGTTGGATGTATCGTAGACAGCAGATGTTTGCTTGGCTAACTTTGTCAGTGCTACCTTGTAAACAACACCTGCTCTGGCCGCCTCGATGTCAGAATTTCTTTGACAGCGGTTCCTCACTGCCTAGTGATCTTGGAAGGAGCTCACGGCCCGGCAGAATGAATTCTGTCAAGTGCCTTTTTTTGATCTGATCGAGTTATGCAAGGTACAACTGGACTGGAAAAGGTGTGTCATTGATTAATAAACCTTAGATCTGTCTAATGAAATTCAGGATGACTAAGGTAAAAGCCTGGTTACACTCAATGGCGATGTTAATCAGCACTCAGTCCATGCATTTGTGTGGGGCTACCGAAGTTATACTCTACATACACTGTGTGACGGTGCTTACCTCCACTCAAACCACACACTGACGTGGCACTCCCTGCTGACCACAAGCAGACCCTACACCGAATATTAAATGAACACAGAGAAGCTGAAGCAGCATATTCTGCTAACCACCCAGCTAGCTACAGCCTTCTGACTCTTCTGCATAGCTATTTATTTAGTTTGTGAAACATCTATTTATTGCACAAACAAATACGGTTCGCCGGCATGTTGTTACAGAGTGGAGGAAGAGTGAAGTAAGTATTAATCGATATTTTTTAAATTTATATCAGCACAATCATTTCACCATTTATAAAAACATTAAGCATATTTAAGAACTTGTTCCAAGAATGAATGCTTTTTATCCATTTTCCCATCCAACAACATTGTCAGCTAAGACACAACTCTTTGAAAAGCATAAAATAGCCATATATACCACATGCAATTTCCAGCAATTTCTGTGATTCTACTCATTGCTACTGTGATACCAGTGGGTAAGGGAACATATTAAATCAGAGTACGGATGACACTGGCCATACTAATGCCGCATTATTCATATAGAGGGAGCTTCGTTAGTAAAGTTGAACCTGAGAGTCGTGCTGCAGAGCCCCAGATTTCCAAATGACAGAGACGAGACTGGGACGTGACTAAGACTGCATACATCTCAGGCGGCTTGGGGCCACCTAAAACGAGCAGACTGATGGATAACTACCACTTCCTTCATGAGCGGATTTAATGCGCGATAACTGCAATCTTCGGGAAAAGCTTTATTTGGGCTTCATGTGGAAATTTAAAATCCCACTAGGAACTGTATGGGTAATTTAGGATGGCGAACGAGAGGTGATGCGACAAATGTGACTCGCAGGCATGCCATGGATCAGTGATGTCATATCATACCACATGACCTGCTATTATTCCTTAATATTTATTATCATGATGATTATTATTGTTATTTAATGGCTGGGAATTTTTTTTCCTATTCAAGAACTCTGACAGCCTAGAGCCGTACAAGATACATTTTAACCTCTTACCAATTACAGATAAAGATATTATTACTGAAGAAAATTCAGGTTTCTTGCTAACAACAAGAATATTTCCTGGCTATTGAACCAATGACCTGCCATGGAAAGAGTCATTTCACCTTGCTGGCTACTCGCAAACCTCTAAAGATACCCGTTCCCTAACTACCACTTGACACTTCCCTTTCAGCTGCCTACATTTCCACAGGATTTTCCCAGCTGCCCAAACGAGTCCCACATCAATAACAAACATGAGTCCTCTTTCTCTCCTACAAACATTGCCTCCTGTTTCTTTATAGGCAATTAATGACTAATTGTTGACAGTGGAAATAATTCTTTCTAAAGTGCAATATGGAGCTATATTACATACAGGGCAGTGAGTGGTTCAGTGGATTAAGGCTCATGCTGTGGGTTCAAAACCCAAAGTCAACAAAGTGATCATTTCATTGTTGGCTCCTTAGACAAGGTCCTTCAGTCCAACTGCTCCAGAGGTACAGGCAGGCTGACTCTGAGCTCTGATCTACATACACATCTGTGTCTGTTTGTGAAGGTTGTGGGTTGAAATCCCAAGTTCGACAGAGTGATCATTTCATTGTTGACTCCTTGAGTGAGGCCCTTCAGCCCAACTGCCCCAGAGACGCAGGTTGGCTGACTCTGAGCTCAGTATACATGTGTCTGTCTCTCATGAAGACCCAATGTCCCCCTAAAGCTATTGCTTCCTCAACTATCTCTGCATCCAGGCTGTACTCTAGCAAGCACAGAGCTAAAACAAGGCCATCATAATCTATTAAAAAAAGGGGAACTCTGCATATGACATCATGATACATTAAGTGGAGGTAAGTGTAATAAGAGTAGTCAGTTTCTGAGGTTCAGATGATGCATAAATCGCGATATTCAGCCACCGGTCCAAAGTGGGTTTAAGCCTCGGGAATAGTTCCGCTTAGGAGCGCACTTGCACAGGGGGGAGGGGGATCACATCAAAACTACTTTAATCTGAATCCCAACCATGGGTCTGTTCAAGATGGCACTCAACTGACATTAATCATGAAGTGGCCGCTTCACAGAGGTGATCTGCGGTCAGCTTCCGCTTAAGCGAATCAACGATCAAAAGGGAGAAAATGTTGGGAGAAGAGCCTACGCCTGCTCCTCTGGAGGATCGCTTCACTGGTCCAGGTCTTCAAAAATCTCATCACGCATGTTGCTTCTGAAAAAAGGTCTTCTTCGGGGAGGTTTTCAGGAACATCGGCAAAAATAATTACCAGCCCGGATCTTCTTTTAGCATTTTTATCACATAGCTAATGGACCAGCGGAATGACAAACGCCAACGCGTGTACTGAAACATCAAAGCTTCGTTCACATGAAAGAGGTTCAACGCACTGAGTGTTTAACTGGAACATCTTGACAAAGGTGCAGAGAAATGATGGATTTGGCCACCAGCGGAAATCTGTGGCAAATTGCATCATGTGACTCTATGCTTTCACATTTCATTTAATAAAATGATATAAAACCTATAAAAGCATAATAGGGCCATTTACATCACCTGCAGTATCAAAATGACAGTCATGGTCATGAATATACATTTATTTAGCAGATGTTTTCACCCAAAGCGACGTACAGCTGGGGTCAGACAGTCCCTGGAGCAATTGGCCGTTAAGGGCTTCGCTCAAGGGCCCAAAAGTAAAATTACTCTGTCGACGCTGGGATTTGAACTAGCGATCTTCTGATCAGCAGCACAGTGTCCTAACCCACTGAGCCACAGAACGCCAGCGTCAGGGCATTCTGACACAGCTAGATGCCACAGCCAATTGAGAACCAGCAAACTGTAAAACGGAACAGCGAAGATCATTTCCCAGCCTCACCATTAAATTCTGCTGCCTCCCATCTGTCTGAGGGATCGCAGCACTCTGACATGCCTCCCCGATGAGAGCCAGAACTTTCTGCACGAACAGATTATCCTGCTGCATCCCCTCTAACTCTGAACACAAGACTCCCAGCAGCTTTAACGCCCATGGCGAACCAGCGGTGGCACACTGCGGCACACACTGCGGCACACACTGTGGCACACGGTGGCGGCACACACTGCACACACGGTGGCGGCACACACTGCACACACGGTGAGGGCGCACACTGCACACACAGCGGCGGCGCACACTGCACACACAGCGGC